TGTGTGTCACACTGACTAATAGTAATTACATTTTGTGCATTTTCACAAGGTGTGAGTTTGCTTTTTGCCTCCAGTTCTTGTTAGCATGTGTTACACAACGTATGAACTCCAGAATAGGCCATCTCGCAGGCCATCTCATTATAAGTTTTCTTAAGTTAAACTAACATGAGTCAAATGTTGGACGCATGCAATTTTATTTTCACCCTGGAGAAGCACTTGTGAATTCTTCCTACAACGTTGTCTTCTTCACATGTGTCATACGCAGACACCATAAAATGACATCTCCATACATCTTGCCTACGCACCGCAACATTTACATGAGACATATATTTTACAGGAAGCACCGGAGTGGGAATCCTGGAGGTGGACAGGTATGTTAATCCTGGGAGTATATTGTGGAAATAACCTTCTGTCAAACTGATCCCACGGCCAAACCGAGCTGGAGCAGACGGCAGGAGCCGGTATCTTTGGAGTGAAGGAGCTGCTCAGCGTGCGGGCGGACAGCTGAATGGAAACAGCAGACCTCTGCGAGATGAATACACTTTCTTACGGTCAGGGGTTGAATTTAAAAGAAGCAAAGTCAAGACCTCGCCGGAAGCAGACCAATAGATGTCCCAGGTGCAGAGGCGATCTGGAGCACGGTATTTCTCATCGAAATACAGCACAAATATGGATGGAAAAAAATGTTTACTCTTCTTTTCACCTGAAAAGCTTTAACACACTGTCTTGACACAAAAACAAAACCCTTAGATGGCACAGTGGCACATGAGTGGAAATCATTATTTTGGCTGTGTCAATGTGAAGGAGTCCGATGAGAATATATTTTTTATATATTCCGTCAAATCTTCTTTTAAAAGAGTAATTTATCTTTATTGGTCATGGCACTTTTTTCTTACACACGAAGAACTCTATGTTAATTTCTTCTGTAGATTAAACTGATATTATCTAATTTTTTGTCTGTGAAAACACTTTTCACATGTCTTTTTTTTTCCTTTTGTAATCCAGAAAAGAATACTATAATCGACAATTGTAAAAGGTAACATAGTCTATGGTTTATATTTTACTTTAGGTCTAGAATTGTGAAGCAATTAATAAAACCAGTTCCACCACAGTCAGTTACTTTCTTATTGCATATATGAAATCATTCTAGTATTTCTAACATATGGAAACTTAAACAAACAGAACATATTTAACAATGTAATTTATGTTGTTGGTCCAATAGCTGCTGTTACTACTTTTACATACTCAGTCAGGAGAAATTCACTATTTTTACTGTGTCCAGTTATTCTAAAATGAAAACGTTCTTACTTTGTGTAGTGAGAGAGACGGGAGTTCTTTTTTGCCCCCCTTTGTTGTTTTGGAATCGGCTGAAAAAAGCATCAAGAGTTAAAAGAATCTAGCGTGATCTCAAAATGTGGGACACGTCTTCCCACCATCCCCAGAGACAAAACAACATATGGCAAAGCAGCATTTAGTTTTTAAGCACCCTATTTCTGGAGGAAAATCTTCAAACACTATTGATGTGTTTTAAGATTCCTCTTTCTTTATTTATCCCTTTGCTCGTCTGTCTTTTTTCGTCCCGCCCTATCTTTTTTAAAAACCTTTGTTAGTGTCAAATTGGAGTTTTTAGTGGTTGTACAGTTCACATGCAAAGTACTGTTTTGGAGTGTCTGATGCATAAAAGGGGCTGTTTTACTTTTATTGAGACAGATTCAGACGCTGGAGTTGAAGGAGCTCAGTGCACATCTCATATATTAGTGATGAGGTTTAGGGTGCACCAGAGGGGGGTGTGCAGAGCTGTGTGTGGGGCTGTGAGGGATTGTGCACTGCTGCATAACTCCACATTCTCCCTATCAGGCCGCATGCCTCTCCCTCCTCCGTGGATTCTTTCTGGCTTTGCTGTATTATGTTGAGTCACAAGGTGGGATGGAGAGACACCTCCCTCGTTCCTGGAGCGGCCGTGCGCAGGCTTTCAGCTTTGCTTTGAAGATGAAAGGTGCCAATGATCACTTTAATTTCTCATGAAATGATATCCATCCCCTAAAAATTATAGGGTGGGATTATTTGAGGTAGGAGAGTCGATTGGTTTAATATTTTTCCCTCAAGATTACCAGCGTACACTAAAAATGTTAAAAGAGAGTTATTCGTTTTTTATTAGCAATCCAGATTTTTTCAAATAATGTGATTCTTTTTTATGACATACAAATCACAAAAATACCAATAAAAGAAAATATATATATATATATATTTTATCCCAATAACAGCAAAAGACAAAAAAATCAGAAGATGAAGAAGAAGATGAAAAAAAAAGCAAATGACTAGAAAAACAACATTTCAAGAATCTAAAGAAAGTAAAATATGAGTAGAAGGCCTCGAATTTTGACCGAGTCATTCTAAAAGGCTGAAATGTACAGCATGTGCCAACAGGAAGCGAAAAGAGCAAAAGTGACAGCTGGAGACCTTTTAACCACAGAAATGAAGAGCTTTCAAATAAAAGGTCAAATGTCAATTGAATCACTGTAACACCTAAATGTAAACCAGAGAAACACAGACAGAGGGGAGGTTTGAGGTTAGAAGAAAACAGCCGTTGAGACTTTATTGTATGAAGAAGGCTAAAGGACAAGTGAGTGATTATCAAACTGTCAAGCAGAACAGCTGATTCATGGAAACCTTGTGTGTGTGTGTGTGTGTGTGTGTGTGTGTGAGTGTGTGTGTGTGTGTGTGTGTGAGTGTGTGTGTGTGTGCGTCGGCTGTAACGGCTCCTGCGTGTCGAGGCTGAGAGATGGGTCAAACACCTCCACTGTAATGTAAATTTAAAAGTGAATGTGTAAAACATCAAAATCAGCCATTTATTGTCAACAAACACACACCAGGAACAAGCACTTCATTTTCACTCTGACACACACCGTCAGCGTTGGCTCTGGATGTGTTGATTACAGCAATCCAAAGGCGTTTCTCGAACACGTGGCTCTGAATGTGTTAGGACCGCTCTCTCGACTGCTTCTGGAAGAATGCAACGCAAAATCGATTTCTCTGGATATTAAGATTAGCAGAAAACACTGGACATGGGAATTAAGGGTTTACGGTGTTTCTAAAAATCAATGAATGCTCAAGATGCCAAATTATTTCAAGATTTTTTTTTTCATATTGAGTTGATCATTTTCTCAATGGTTACATCTGAATTTAAAAACGTATTTAACTTAGAAGTGATCAGTGTTTGCAAAACTCTTAAGCAGAATGCATCACAGTGCACGACAAATGTCTCTTAAATGAAAACTGGGACTTCTGTGCTTTTATCTTGCATCAAACTGATCCCAGATGAACTACGAGCCTTTTGTAAAACATTCTAAAAGCTTTTCTGACTTACAGATAGCCTGATGTCACAAATCAGGCGATCAGGGCATGGGGAGGCCTCATCCCTGCTTTGCTGAACAGCTGTACAGCTGTGGTGGTCAGAGGGTGAACAGTGAGCAGGGAGCAGCCTCAGTAGGCTCCACGCTGTTACGTAAAGTGATGTGATTAAAGCTGGTGGCAGTTATCAGCTGGCTCTGCTCAGACCGGCTGCTGAGCTCTGGATCCGATCTGTCTGACATCAGATAAACACAACGTCAAGGCTCACGTGTACAGTACACTCTGAGACGGAGCTTATGTTGCTGGAAAGAGATGTGTGCTGCTCTTGCGTCAGGCTCACTGTATCTCAGCCATGTCCAACCAAAGCCTGGCACCACTATTTCCTTTTCGTGCAGGCATCAAAAGACATATATATATAGATAGACAGACAGATAGATAGGCAGTTCTAAGCTATTAGTATTTATTTTGTTTATTTCTTGACATACATATTTATTTTTGCTCTGTGCTCTTTGATTGACATTTTAATCTGTTGCTTTTATTTGGTCTTATTGTCCAACATTTTTTAACTCCAGGGTTTTCCTCAATGGGGTCCTCCATCCTGGGGGTTCCTCCTACTCTGTCTGCTGGGTCATTGCCACGGTAACCGTCCTCATCTCGGCCACTTAGGGTACATCACTGCAGCCCTACGGCTGGAGCGTGGACCCCGGCCTCTCCTGGTCAGGGTGCTTTCCTGTGGCATGGGGGCTGGGGCTCCAGGTATAGTAGTGTCATGCTGGTTTTTGAGTTATAAGGTGGCAACTTCAGTTTAGATTGGATGGTGGGGAGGCTATATTGTGTGTGTGTGAGGGCCTGAGCGGAGATTATGATTGGGTACGCTTTCAAACATTTCTTAGGTCATTCATCAAGCATGTGTCTTTAATGCACTTTTATGTAAAGCATCTTGCGCTATTTTCTGTATGAAAGATGCTTTATAAATAAATATATTGAAAATGCTAATACCTACTTATACCTAAACTTGTGGAGTCGTTCATGTTGTGGATGTTTCTCAGGGTCTGTTGATGGAAAACTAAAAGGTTTGCTTGCAGCTGAGTTGTTCCCTTGTATCATCAAATTGTGTTTTAATCTGTTATAATCAAAAGTTACAGGAACATTTTTTTATTTTTTCCCCCAAAATGCTTTAAAGAAAAAAAAACTCATCAGTTTGCAAAAATCGCCTTTTTCCTGTACAGATAAGAGGAGTAAAAAGCCACAAATGAACCCTTATTTTGACTTCCCTGAAAAGGTTCTTTCCCCATGAATGCCCCTGTGGCCTTATCAGATCCATCAGCCCTCCACAGCTCAATGCGGCTTCCACACCATCTCTGGCAGAGAGAAAAGAATGTGAGGCAAGTCTCTTTTTTTTAATGGTTCGGTTGGTATAGGATTTGGAAGCATTAAATCAATACATGGTCAGCAGCCATACAAAACGAAACCAACAAATCCGTTTAAAGTGAGAGGGAAAGTGAAATACAAGGCCAAAACAAAGAGAAGAAAAAAAAGACACTTAGGCAAAGTCAGGTCATCACAGTAAAAAGATACACAATCCTAGTCACCTCAACAGCATGCTGAAAATCTAAACGGGAAGCTTTTTAGTTCAATAATGCTGACTGACACACACACACACACACACATACACACACAAACACACACACATTCATCACTTGATGGAAGGCTGCAGTAAAAACTTGAATAGCAAAATGTACAGTAAGACATTTTTAAAAGAAACTAAACAATGCATAGACAAATAATGCTTTAAAAAAATTGAAGTAAACAACAAAAACCCAACAAAAAAGGAGGCACAGCTCTGTTGGTTGATCAATTTGCAATGATTGTTGAAGACATTCAAAGAAAAGTTATCGCCAACAACTTAAAATGGAGAAAAGGTTTGCCCATAAAAAAAACTAAATCCAGAAGATGTATTTTAGAACAAGTAGCTTCCACAAACCCAAAGAATGTACAAACAATGGTCGTTGTGGCAAGGCGTCATAGATCTTCAGCTGAGCAGACGTGAGAAACACAAGGCAGACATGCTTAGTTGGAAAACAATACAAGTTCACAAGTCAAATCAACTCTACTTAAACACTTTAAATATGCGCCTCATTAAAAAGCCTGCCGACTTAACAAATATTCAACCGTTTATCATCCAGACGTGTCAATTAACAGCCTTTTCCATTAAATCACAGGAGCGATAAAAACTTGTTTACAAAGTTGTTGGTTTTTTTTCACCCGCCGAACCAAATGTAGAGTCTCTGTGCTAAACATTTCAATATTTTTTCTTTTTTTTGCTAAAATCCCGCTGGTAATAGTGCAAGAGATGCAGTACAGTCGGTAATAACACACAGTTTTAACGTTTGGCTTCACGTCCTCAGATAAAACAAAAAATTAGAGTTTGTACGACTTTAGTGTGAGCGGGTTTAATGAAGGAGCGGCTCGTGCTCGGATTTCTCCAACTGATGTCCATCAGTGAACAATAAATTACATCTACAGCTCCTCTGAACTGTTACGGCAAATTTAACTTAAGTTTAGAAAAAAAAAAAAAAAGAGAGAAAAAAAACAATTGGCACACTTAATTCATTTGTTCTACTTTCCCAACTATATGTACAATTTAAAAAAAAGTTTTACACATCACAATAACTCAAAAGCTCTGTGTGTGTGTGTGTTGGGGGGGGGGTCTGTACACGTGTGTTTCGTGCTCGATGTGATTATCTCTGTTAGTGTGGGTGTGTTTCTTTTTCCTTTATTCTTCTGCTTCCCTCCATGATAAAACAAAAACAAAAACACTGTTACGAAATAAAGCAGCGGAGCGGCGGGCGGGCGGGGGCCTCACTGATAACACGCCGTGCACGCCCCTAACATGCACGCAGCAGGACCAAACCTCACCTCACGCGGTCCCGGGCCGACTGGGGCCGCTCACTAAAGCTGCACCGTCCTGCCGCCGTTTAGCCGGCGCACAAAAGAGCGCCGCCGTCCGAGCGACCCAAATCCATCCACCTTTTTTGGACCGCACACAAGCGTTTTTAGACTCTAACAAGACCCTGTAAGGTTTTTATCGCCTTCCTCCACCCACTGGTGACCGCCGGCCACGCCTCAGATTGGCTAACACACACTTCTGACTGCCTGTCCATGTAAATAGGGAGACCTGAAGGAGCTGACCGTATTCATATCGCTCTGAATTAAGTTTTTCGGAAACGTTTGCCTGCGTCTCTGAATCGAACCATCGCTGTATCCGTCTTTCCTCTGCTGCGTTTATAAATGAGGCCCCTGATGGACAGAATAAAATTAAGAAGAAAAAAAAAAGGCTTCGGTATACACCAGTTAAACAAAAACCAAAACTACTTCAGCCCGGTTAGGGTGAAAGCCGACAAATAAAACCTCTCTTCTACCAAAACTGACCGGACCAGGAGTCTGTTCTGGTCACGCTGCCCGACGTCGCAACTCAGGCCGAGCGACACGCCACCAAACCAGCCCTCCGACCCCCGCCACGAAGGAACAAAACAAACTCTACTTGATAAGCGTCTGCACCGTCAGAGAGCGTTTTCACTGACTCCGCCCACAGTGACCCTCTGGAGGGCATCTCAGGTGATGGCGTGCCGGCTCGTGTGAGGGAGGGGCGGCGTGGAAAAGGCCGGGGCGGAGTCCGAAGCAGCCAGCTGTGTATCTTTTCCTCCTCCTCCTCACTTAGCCCATCAGTGATGTGTTTGTGGAGCTGGGTGCTGTTGCGGATCACAGGCGAGACGGGGCGGGGGGGCCGGGGGGGCCAGGGTCACTGCCGCCGGTCCTCCGTCTCCGACCGCGAGAAGGCCATCACCACGTCCTCTGGACCTGGGGACCGAAGAGAGAGAGAGAGAGAGAGAGAGGAGAGAGAGAGATCAGGTCACATTTTCCAAGCCTTCTACCTGCCGATGCAAAGCTTGTTCATGACGTTTAAAGGTGCAAACAGAGAGTCTAATTACAAAAAAGCTATTCTTAAAAAAAGAACAAAAAAACCCACTAACATAGCTAACACATAATGATCCCACATAACGATTTACACAGAGATCAACACCTTTACAAAAGAACAAATTCCTGACAGCACCTCAATCAAACTTCTGTAAGAAAAAAAGAAAAGAAAAAAAAACAACTTAAAACCACGTGGCTTTGAAGTGCCTGTTAGATTTAATTAGCAGAGATATGAAAGTAGGCCAAAGGCTGTCAGCTTCCATGTATCTGGCACAAAGGATGGACAGAACGCCGTGTTTCTGCCGGTTATCTCTCTGGCAAGATAATCAGCATCACGCTGTGCTACATTCCAAACACTTTGGAGCTTGGTAAGATCAAGATTGAGGGGGGCAGGGCATCTTTTTTGGCTTTTAATGAATTACTATTCATCTTTTTTTCTGGATAACTTTCATATTCCCGTTCCCACAGGAGCTCACTTGCCTCCCACAGTGAGGGTAGTGATGAGAAAAGCGAGCTAAAGCTAACAGAGCACTAACTGGAGGGAGTGATAAGCAAAAGAGGAAAATAGAAGTCATCAGCACTGAGACAGCACACCGTGTTCACGATGCTTGAAGAAGAGGCGATTAGAGAGCAGCACACAAAGAAACCGTGGAGCGGTTCATTGCCAAGACAGTGCACAGCCGACTCCTCCGAATTAAAGGGATGAAAGGGCTGCGACGTCTGGACGCTGCAGTTGTGGAGTTCAGAGGAAGGGCAGCGCGCAACGTGAGCCCAATAACAAACGCAGCCCTCTGAAAATACCTCCACGGGCTGGAGCTATATCTGACCGCGCCGTTCAGAGTCATGTTCGGACCTCGCCCGGCGACCGTCGCCACAAACAGGCTCAGGCCAATATGATGGAAATATCAGGTCCCCGAGCGCTGTTGCCTAGCGACAGATAAAAATCAGGTTGCATCGGCGCCGGCGCCTCTGAGCAAGCAGCTTTGGGCGTGCTGGGATGCGGCTCTGTGCGCGGCCCTTCTCCTCCAATCTGCCTCACGCCGATCCACTTCTCCCCTCGTCCCGTTTGACGAAGGGGAATGTTTTCACAAAGGGGGAACACAACCCATTCAATCGAGATAAAGCACAAATGAATGGATGATCTTTTCTTAAGGCCAACAAGCAGCCATTTTGCACACTTCTGAGCAGCTATAAATAAATAAACGCGCGCCTCGTTTGAGATGAACAAGGAAACATAAAAGCTCCACTGAAAGCTCTTAGGAAAAGAGAGCTGGGAACGAACCCGACGGGAGTTGGTTTGAAGCCAGAGGCACAGAGCTGCGTCCCCAGAGTCGTTGCAGAATGACTAAGCGGAGAAAGACCTGTAGTACGACTCCGGTGGTGCAGCGATGCGGCACCCACAGAATTTAAGGTCACCGTCTGAGCTGGGGTCAGCCGAGGGGATAAAAACGCTGAGAGCAGCAGAGGCGGGTTGAGGACAAGGACAGGCGACAGAGGAGTGTGTGTGTGTGTGTGTGTGGGTCTTCAGAAACACAGCCGGGATTTGATCCACTGCTAACAACGTGCATATCCGATATAAAACCCTTTCACTTTTCACCACGTCACCTCCCTCCTGGACACAAAAAAAGCTATGCATGTTCTCTGCTTCAAACCTGACACCTGAGGGAGTCACATGAGAGCACTTCGGAGGGGGAAAAACAACCTGAGGTGCTTCTGTGTGATAAGGCCACAGAAGAATGGTGCTTAATCTCAGTGCTGCTCTGATACAGACAACCAAACAGAAAACGGATAAAGGGGGGGGATCAATACGCCTCTGCTCGGGTGACGGGGCTAAACAAAAGAGGAGTCCTTGCTCTCGGTGGCACGGCTTCCACGTACAAGGAGGCTTTGAAGGCAACCCAGTTCCATCAGAGAGGCGGGACGAGCCGGCTCATTGATGGAATGCGTCTGCAGGGACACCTGAATGGACGAGGGCCGAGAGGACCGGCTGAAAGACCCCACAACCCCGCCGGCTGCTGCCTCATTATTATCCCTGCCTTCAGCTCAGCTGCTCCGGTCTTTCTGCGCAGCGCGTCACGCCGCCGGACCCCGAGGAACGCACGCACTTCCCTGGGACAACGGAAGTTGCTATGGAAACACCTTCCCCTTCTTTTGACGAGACCCTGTGACGTCCCTCTGGGAGGGGTTAACTGTTCTCGTCTCGTGACAAGTGCTACAATGGTGCTGCGAGTGGAATGCTTCCACTGAAACGAGAAGCATTTCACACCATGTTCCTGTTTCCTGTGCTACACGTGGCGTGCGAAGCCTCGCCTCTCTATGCGCCGCCGAAACTCACATTGACATGAATAAAGCTCAAAAAACCGCAACGCCCCGGGGCCGATTATTCCTCCCGGGCCTAATTAAACGTACTAAACAAAATTCAGCATTTGCATCTATGGTAATCGGCCAATTAAAAAACTATCTGAGATGTCGTCCAGTGACCCGTGGAGGTGTGAGAACGGAGTTGACTTCTTCTGCGTGCAGCGGGGCGGCCTAGCAGCGGGCCGTGAGCGCTGACTCAGGGTTTGAGCTACGGAGCTATCTGATCATAGGCCATGAATTAATTTCAATTTAAGGGAGACACCGAGCCGTCGGCATCGACGGTTTGGCCGTTTTTAGACGTTAGACTCCGAGTATTCTATTGAGCGTTTTCCACGCGCCCCCACGCCACCGAGCCCTGAAAGCTCTGTGGGCGCTCTGCCAGTCCATCGATCAGGCCAAGCCTCACACGTGACCCTCTGCGCTGAGACGCCTCTCAGCTGCTGTTATCGGAGCACGCTGCTCCAGCCAGGCGACCTCACCGGGAATTTGAGCCTTAGTATCATCGTCAGGATATCGACACTTAGAAAAACTACACGGATTGAAAAAAAAAACGCATCAGGGCCTCAGAAGCGGACATTTTGACTTCAAAGAGCAGAACATACAAATAATTTTTCTATCTTTGTGCAAGTCTCTACTTTTACATTCAGTCATGAGAATACAAGACAGAACACGTGCACAAAATGCACAAATTATGCACTTTACTGTCTGGTTGTGTTTAGCTGTTACTAATCTCTTCTTCGGTTGTATGGTGGAGAGCAACTGTGGATACGCGGATTTCAGCTCGACACATTCAGAGTGATCCGAGCAGAAATGAGATCAAACAATATTCTGAAATGTGACTAATGTTGTAATTCAGTTTACTTTAAATGTACCTGGTCATATTCAATTTCTTATTCGTCATTTTAAGCTTCTGGTATGAGATTTAAATCACGTCTCGCTGCATGCCGGTGAATTAAAAAAAACTCCTTCCTTGCAGCTAAATCTCCTCGCATCACCTCAAAGGGTCCCGGGCGTGATGCTACATACCAATCATCGTCCTTCGTGCATCCTTGAACATTAAAAAAAAGGAAAACGGTTCTCATTGCCTGCAATGCTAATCACAACACCACGGACCAGATGCAGAGCGCAAACGTGGATGCCCGATGTGTCTGTTTTAGGGATGTATAATGCATTCTTTCAGCACCTCTCACCAGTTACATTCTTCCATTATTAATGACCCTCGTCCTAGTTGTATCGACGCGGTGTTCGGTGTCGGCTAAAGGAGAAGAACCAAGAGAGCGTAGACTGACAGCTAATCTATATCTGTTTAAACAAAGCAAAAGGCCCATCATAAAACACCAACTCACAAGTCACTGTTGGCTGATGTTGTGGCCTTACATAATCATCAGATTTCTGGAAAATCGACCTGCACCGAGTGCTTCCTTGCAGAGAGATGCGGCAGACAAGGGCACTTCAATGTAGGTGAGGTGTCACGGGGCGATTTATCCGTCCTCGAGCTCCCCTGAAGGGGGCAAATATGACGCAAATATGAGGCAGAGCAGAGATAAAACCGAGCGGCAGGCAGCCGGGCTGTGGGGCTCCCGGCTGCCTTTTGGAATGGAACTGTAGCTCCCAGAACTAAAAATACAGACAGTTTGCTGCCGCCTGCTCAGGATACCGCAGTGCTCTCCACCCGACCACTGTGTGTCCCGCAGCACCATCTTGTGGTTTGAGCTCCAACGAACGATAAAGGAAATAACGACGGCTTAACGGTGCCCTCTAGAGGCCTTTACTGGAAAAGAGGGACTTCACAAGTCCAACAGCATCAAGGTGCGAGCTGTGATTTGCTGTGCAGTGTGAACGCCACAACGCGAAACCGTGAGAAGCAGCGTGTTCCCTCTGACGGTGAGTCACGCACGCCGTTTGCTGCGGGGGTAAGCGCCCAGCGCTCAGGGCACAGCCGAGTCACTGCCACTGAGGTGTAAATTCAACCTTTTTTGGGTCGAAGTAGCTTTAAAAAGGTTTTAGATTGTGTTCCAAAAGTTTTTGTTGCTAGTTAAATGACCTATTTGTGTCTAAAAGATAAAGAAAAAGAGGAAATGCTTTTAAGTCTAAATACTGACCTGCCCTGAAAAGACTGAAAACAAATTATTTTCTAATGATGAACCCAGCCACAGGATCGGTGTGCTTGTGCGTGTGTGTGTGTGGGGGTGGGGGGGGGGGCCTTACCCTGGTCTATGTTGTGCTGTGGTAGCTGGCTCATCTGACTGTTAACCACACCTTTGTAATTCTGAAGAAAAGCCTCTTCACTTGGTTTGAGCTGCGGAGGAGAAAAATGGATTTTAGACACATTAAAAATGTCATTTTAAACCTTAAAGATGTGGTCGTTTGCCCTTTTTAAACACTGATCAATACATCATATTGCATGGTGGGATGAATGTACATTAATGTGACCACCACAACTGTGATGAACACTTTAACATGCCCTGTGTATTACTTAGTCTTCAACCAAATTATAAAAAATTATCAAGTAATAAACAGACAACTCATGGAAATGTAATTTAAAATAAAAAAGGTAATAATGTTGCAAGTTTAAAAAGAAAGGAGGACATTTTTCTTTTTAATCCCTCCTCTCACTTGGGCATCAGTGGTTTAGTCTCTCCTGTAGACTAATGAATTTCTGCCTTTAAGATAATACATGTGGTCATGTTGTCATTTACTGTAGGTCAGTGAACCACAAAAACTTTTGTTTATTATTTGCTTTATAAACTGTCTGGGAATTGGATGAAGTGTCAAGAATTGTCTGTTTTCAAACTACGACCACAACCTTTATGCGTGTGCATACGCTAAAAAACAATCCTTCAGGGGTCCCCGAGTATAAATATTGTCACTCTGTCTGCACTATCAGTCAAAGTCTAGATTTCACTCTGAACTATAAGAAGTGACGCATGACGGCAGCGATTAAAAACCTGAAACTTACATTCGATCCCATTTTCTTAAGCATGAGCAGGACCCGCACTTTCTGCTGGATGTACACGTCTTCAGAAGACTTCCCTGGCGCCTCCTCGCGGTTCATCCCCTCTGCTCCTGTGGCTCTTAAGAGGACCAACGACAACAAACACACACAAAAAAAAAGAACAACATTTGCGTTACACAAGCTCCTGGTTTCACAAACGCCGGGCCAACATTGCAGGTGTGGCTACAAAGCTGTGGCCCGTGGAGACACTGATGGGGTAGTTTTAACCAGAGGTGCCAGCGGGCCCTCCCTTTGGAGGCCTGAGCGTCTTGGCCTGAACCCTTTCGGCAGATTCGTCGCAGTAGAGTCACGGCGCCCAGGTCTGGCAGCTCCCCGCGTCATTAATATTTCACCGCGGCGTTCGCACAGATCTCGCCCGCCTGCCTCCATCTCTTATTCTTCATCTAACTAATGACCTATTTTCACCGCCAGTCTGCAGAGATGCAGAATATAAGGCAAAGTGGGAGAAAGAGGGAGGGGAAACAGCAGGCGATAACAGAAGCTGCCAGCGCTAATGTGGCTGACGGAGGAAGGGATCAGCTTTGCTGTGATGGCGAGCTCCCGTCAAGGTCCCCTGCAGTCGCACAAGATCCTTTTTAGAATCCAGCGACCAGAACGGCAGGACACTCAGCTTAAATTTGCTAATTGAAAAAAACAAAGAGAAAAAAAACCCCTCAATGCGCAGGACTAATAATTTACACAAAAAAAGGGCAAAATAAATCTTGTGAAAGCGCATCTAATATACAGCCTATTAGTATGCACGTCAGGGTTTGTCATCTCTTAGAATTTTTCATAAAAGCCTTTGCGAACTACAGAGACTATGATGGTTCTGGCAATTTATTTCGGCCTCTTATCTCTGCAACGGGCCACTAACGCATGTTGACGGCCTGTTTGATGTAGGGTTATATTTAATTGAGGCACTGGCGCGCCGTACCCCTTATTCCAGAACCTGGGGGCGGGGGTTTGAGGGGGGATGGGATCCCATTGGCCGCTGGCTGGCACTCGGTTCCCACTCTGAGCTAGTGGACTCATCATCCAGATAACAGCAGCCGGGGGCCACGCTTCTGATTTGGCTTTATAACCGAAACGAGGTGGGGCGGAGGCAACCGGCACTCGGGTCTACCTCGTCTGCTTCTCTCTGAGTGGTGGCAGGCAGGTCAACGGGTAGGGGACACGCCGAGGCGGCAGAGCCTCCTCAGAGTAGAGATCAGCTCAAACAGAAAGATGCTGAAGACTTAAAAGCGAGACAGACATGAAAAAGATGGAGACTCAGTGGTGTCGGCTCAGCTGCTCAGAAAACCTTCAGGGGATGGTGGTGTGTGAATGCATTTGGGTGGGGGTGGTGATGTAGAGTGGATGTTGGTGTAGGGTGCAGAGGGGGGGTGGGGAGCGGGGCTGGTGGCAGCGGCTTTAGATCTGCCGCAGCGACTCGTTTGATCACGGCTCCGCACTTCAGACAAATGGGGGAGAGTGAAGACTCCAGAAGGCTTCCAGAGGGGCGGCGCTGGGGAGGCAGGCCGGCGCGCTGAATGCTCGACGGGGGTACACGCTACTGGATGAGGGGGCAGAGGGTGAAGACAGGCACCTGAGATCTCTGAAGAATGCAAACGTTACACGACAAAAGATCCCTCAAAACTGAGGGGTGTTTTTAAGGCTTGACAATAAAACCCTTTTTTGTGGCTGCTTCTGGACAAAAAGCACTCGATATTCCCCAATCATGGTCTGCATGAAAAGGCCTGGGGCTTTCATGATGGAGACATTTCACGGGCTCTGATGTTTGCTTTTGAGGTTTGAAAGCCGTCCACATTCAGAGCCCGTCAGCCCAGGCCCCTGACTGCTTTGAGTGCTGCAATTTGTGTTCTTACCTGCCCAACAATGGCTGCTCATAGAGGCATCTATTGTAAAACTAAGAAACACTCCAAGGCGAAAATCTTTTTTTTTTTCCTGGCTACAGCATATTGTAAACCAGCTATTACAGTTCCAGAAAACCAATTTGTAGATTGCAGAATATTGTGCAAATGCTTTTTATCTACTTTATCTTTTTAGACATCTGGGCCCACTTTAGCTCTCAACAGCATAGCTGAAGAGGAGAACTTGGTAAGATGTGCAGTGGGTCAATTCTTTAAAAATAGTAACGTAATAGTAATAAGTAACGCAGGAAAAAGCAGAGAAATGAGGAACCATTGCAACAGTTTTAATTGTGTTCTCAAAGAAAGCTGGTTTGATAATCAGATAAGAATGAATGAGATGCTTGAATTGTAAGCGAAAAAAAAAAAACCTCTGTGGCAAGTTCAGAGTTAAGGATCTGTAACCTGAACTGGTCCATGAGAACCCAGGTTTTGTATAAAACAGCCTGACACCATTAGTAAAAGTCTTTCTTGTTAAAAACTAATAAAATCACTACACCAGCACTCTTGTGTTAACTGACCTATTTCTGGTCATTTCATCTCTCTCCTCCCTCCACTGTTTGTCACAGGTGCTGATGACGTGACTCAGCCCAAACGCCACTCCCCGAGACGCAGGGAGAAAACAAAATCTAATCACTGGGGAAACGACAAAAATCTTAAGGCACAGTGGTTTGGATGAGTAATCTGACTACTGGATTTGGAATAGTAACGCCTTAGATCACTAGTTACTGAAGAAAGTGGTCAGATTAGCGTCCTCACCGACGAACGCTGAATTAAAGCTGAAGGTGAGAACAGAGTGAGTCACCGAGACACATTTAGGCATCAGCATGTGAAGCGGAATTTCAGGGAATCTTGGAGCTATCCAAGAGTTACACTTTGCTTCTGAAATAGCTCTTAAGCCCTGAAGGGTTCTGCTCGGGGTGCAACTTTAATACTTAAACCATCAGAGAGAGCTATGCAGCAAACACGCGGTGAAACCGGCGTTATAACGTGTCCTCGTGTGGTCCGTTTCTCTGCCCTTCTGCACTGGAGCTCAGTCGATGAACGAGGAAATAACAACACGGCTGCATTTTTGGGTGCAACCGCTTCTTGTCAATGTCTGCTTTGGCTGCAACATTTTTAGAACCCATCTGAACTGCGTTGTAGTACATCAATGCTGAAAATCTTTCTTTAGTGAAAGGGCAAAAATATTTAGAATTGCATTACATTATGAGCATTTATGTGCATGTGCGAATACGGAGGCCTGTCGGGGAAACTGTCATTTCCTGCTGCTGCACTAACCAAAAGACTCAAGAAGTGACTTTTAATACCAGCAATAAATATAGATCTAAAAATCTCTCATTACGGCTCCACGTCATGTCGTATTTAAGGAATGGCGGTCAGGATCCTGTCAGACTCCCTTTGTGTGGCTGAGGTTCGCGTCTCAAAGAGGAGGGGGGGGGGGGCTTAACTCAAATCCCTGGAGAGATGCTCAGACACATACGGACAACAAACCAGACGCAATCAAAGGCCTTCTTTAATGCTGATCTGGGTCTAATCCCCCGCCCCCCCATACACACACACACACACACGCACTTTCTTTTGGCCCATTTTGAACTCTTGTCAGTGTCGTGGCCAACAAGCTCAGAATCGTATTGTTAAACTGAACTGGGAACCTACGGCTTTTAAAACTGATCCAACCAGCTGTGTCAGGACACATGACAGATACTGGCAGTGCTCAGTTATGCAAAAAAAAATTATATATCATGTACTTAATAAATAGTATTACTCAGTGCCTTTGGAGCACCATGTGTATGACTATCCACACTGATGACTTTAAGAGACAAAACAAAGACATTTTTAGGGCCGGGCAATGAGGGTCTTCTGCCAGGAGGACGTTTTGCGGTGCAAAAGGCCCGCACATTTAGAGGGTCAAGAACGGCCGGGGGGGCCAGAGGGCACCGGCACAGGTGCATGCGGCCGCGGTTTCTGGCTCTGGAGCCCCGTCCTCACATGATGCATAACGTCTGATTAACAAATCACATTGCCGCAGCAGGCAAAAGTGAGCTGCAACACGACCCTGAGAGTCGGATGGCCGCAGCGGAGAGGAAAAATAACTTGAATTCAGCCACGAGCTGCTCTTACATCCTGAGCAAATGTGTGAGAAACATTAGGAGGCTGCCGGCCTGGTGTGGCTGGCAGCTGAGCAGCCAGGAACCTGGCTCTGTGCAGCAGCTGTGTCACGTCAGGTACACACACAAACACACACGCTGTTAGGAGTCTGATTAAAGCAAATTCAGTGATTTGTTGAGAAAAATGCTAAACGTGTCGGGCAGCAGCTGCTTGAGACAGGGTGTTTACCGAGCCGTGAAGGTGGGCCGCGGTCAGCACTTTTAGGGCACATGCGAGGTCAGTAAAAAAAAGCCGGCCCAAGCCTCCCGACATCGAAATGGTGACAAATGGATCTAATAGGATGCATTGGTTTCAGCGAGCACGCGGCTCTGCTTTCATTGCAAAGCCTTGGCCAGCTGCTATATCGCAGAGGGATAAAAACAACCAGGAGAAACTGGCATCACACTGCATCCATATGGGAGTTTGGGGGCTGCACGCCAACCCAGACAGCCAAAGTTTAAAGAGTAGCTCCCATTGGTGGATTCTCTCCTTACTGGCTTTGCGCTTGAGAACGTTTTCTGGGACCACCAAATATTCTGATGCATCACGGTGCTGGAAAACTGAGGGAATTCACCACCATATTCAATCTACCTGCGACCTTTTTTAAGGGCTCGCTTTTGGCTGAGCGGCCAATAACATTCCTCTGTGATTTGACAAACTCAGAATCCAGAAATATTTACTCAGAAGCTAACTATCTTATAAAGCATGTCAATAAATAGCAAACCAAAAGAAATTGGGAACAATATTTTCATTCAAAACAGCAGTTAACAGCTAACTGAACACTTATGACACTTATCTTATGACTTCAGTATCACTGGCATATTGTTAGATGGTAGTCTGGTACAGCCCAAAAAAGACAGTGACAAAGGAAAGTGGAAAACATGGCAAATGGCATTACAAAATGCTGAAAACTCCCCTAGAAACGCAGCTCCTGAACCTACATCTTTTAACCGATGTTAAGGGAATGTCAGGCCACCAGGCCTGCTGTTCATTTATCCAGTGGAAGCCTCTGATAAATATGCAATTCTTCTGCATTTTTCTAGTTATATTAACGGGCAAAAAGGCTATTTCTTTTTCGCCAAGCAGACCCCAGCAACCTACAACGGCTCCGACTCGGACATACTGACATCTCTTTACGAGTACAGTCTTAACAATGGCTACACAATCGGGGGACAATGGCCGTGAACTAGATTGTCAAAACATGAGTGACAAGTAGGTCAGGTCCTGTTGTCATCGTGTCAGCCGCAAACTCAAAACAGCCCTTCGGAACGTTCCACGCCTCCCTCGGTGTTGGGGTTCTAGGTGTGTGCTTTGCCCAGCCCATAACACCCTGAGGAGAGAGCAGGATTCCAAGAGAGTGAGCTACAGTAAGTGGTGAATAACTCTTCCCACATCTCCACTGCCACCGGGCAACGCCAGCCTTTTAACGAACGCTTATCAAAAGCTTTTTCTGTGCCCTTAATTGCCCTCCACTCGTGACATTTTACTGCTGCGTACGTGTCTCAGTTCTAACTAATTTGATGAAAAATCCAAAAGTTGTATGTATTTAAAATATATATCATCTGTCTATGATCACAGCACATCTATGCTCAGTCCTCAGGGTCCCTCAAAGGAACCGAAACAGAAGCTGCTGCCTTAAGCTGGTCCCATGAGGGTGCTGCTGCAAGATTTTCAAAAGAGTCGGCCTCAAAGCAAGGCATAAAATTCAGATTAGCGAACAGCCATATATGATCAATGCACTTGGAACAACACAATGCAGGAGGCAACGCACAGAAGTAAAAAATAGAAGTAAATTTGGTTCACGCAACAATAAATATAGGTAGAAGAAAGGAAAACGCTTCCACAAAAACACTCCCAACTTTTTCTATTTAACTGATGAAAAATATGAAGACGGCCTGGCGGTCACGCGGAGGCCTCCGTCCCTTCCAGAGGGACTGAAAGCCTTAAGTGGAGGGACGCAGCTCTAGTATTACGGTGTCAAGCCACAACAGGCTTCAAAGAATGACGAGGGTAGTGCCAAAGCGCAGGGGCGCAGCGACCGTGAAACGAAGAATCCTCCTGCATCAGAGTCCAAGCATCCAGTGACGTCCCGCCGGGGGGCCGGAGGAGGCCGGGCGGCGGCCGAAGTGCACCTGTCCCGCCGAGTGCGAGGAGGCGAGCGGCCCTCATCTCTCTCAAAAAAAAAACCCAGACGGCTATGAGAATGTGCAAACTAAGGCGGGCTTCACATTCTGCGATGCATGAGCAAGTGTGCCGCTTGCCAGGGGGATTCGGTGCGCTTGCCTGTGGCCAAGCCCCGACACCTGCTGGCCGCAGCACTCATCGGGGTCCTGCTGCCAGGGGGGGTGCCAGCCTCGCCACCAAAAAGGGGGGTCAGCTCGAGCTCGGACTAGTGAGGGAAAACACACACACACCGTGAAGGGGCAGGCCGGTCCGACGCACCCAGGGGTTAGGACACCATTCTAACACAGGACACCAGTTTAGGGAGCAAGGCAAATATCAAACAAATAGATTTGAATTACTGCCAAACAGGAATGGTGTTTATCTCAGGGATGCATTTATGCATGTATGCATGCATGTGTCTCTGGGCTGGAGAAGCACTCCTTTAACAGACTGGTCTTTGGTTTCTGGGACCAAACGAGTTTGTTTGGATTAACATGAAAACTTGCACCATGTATGTTGAATCCCCACTCAAATACAGCTGTGTAGATAGCACAGCTAGCAGTGCAGTACATTCAAACTTAGTGTTAACGACGATTTAAATAGGGGTTTGAAATTGTGTTAAGACTCGACAACATCAGTCTTCTTCCGTGGCGACTGGGGACTGAAAATAAAAAACCATTGCCCGAATCTAAATCCAAACTAAATAGAACATAAACCATGTGTTTTGTAAAGGAACGGATAATTATGAATGAACGGCTCTTGTTATGTTGCGGGATTCAGGCTGTTCAAACTGTAGCTAGCAAGCGGCGAGCCTTCCCCGAATTCTCGGAACGGTTCTCGGGCTTTATCGGTCGTGATTCAATGCACGGTTCCGTATTCCAAGCCACTCTGAAGTCTTAGAGTTTTTATAAGAACACACGTTGGATTAAGTCTCGACCGAACCCGAACTGTCCGTGGCAAAAGCGGCCGGTGCTAACCAGCCGAGCTAGCGTGCTAGCATGCCCCAGACAAAAGCCTGAATGAAGTTCCTGTGGGTGCAAACACCATCCAGGTGCCGCTGCTCTGCCAGAAGTCTGGGCGCCGCCACTCGAGCACACGAATCGTCTATTTTTAAAAAAATGACAATGTGCAACTCTTCAAGGAAAACGGCGAATATGTGCTTACCCCTCCTGGTCCAGCTTTACTTTTTTTCTACGCTCTGGCTGAATGGTGTGCTGATGTAGAAGGGCGTCCTGTTCCGGGGTCACATCCCTCCAGTCGGCAGAGCTACGGCGGACTGACTGGGCGCAGGAGCTCCGCGGCTGGAGCGTAATGACCACGACCGGCCGCAGGGGGCGCTGCAGACTCAGCCGACACAGCGCGACGCCTTTTGGGAGTCACCGAATGATTCAACGACATGTAAACACTGATAAGGACTTCCAGATAACGTTAAACCTCCCATACTCCTAAACTGATAACACCCAGCTGTTTACCCACAGTTTTTAAATGATACGGAGAGCAAAAATACCACTTGTAAAAAAAAAAACGTGACAGCTTATTGCGAGGATTAAGTCCATTCTGCCCTGAAAAATGCACAGATACACACACGTATAATACATTTATGACCAGTCAGTGTGGTTTTAAAGAAATTTTCAAGCCGTAAAAGTCATGTGTACGTTTGCACTCACATACATCGAAATGGATAATACATCCGGATACTCAGGAGAAATTAAAAAAACAAATGCTGATTACCTTTTGTTTTCTGGTCATCACCAACCCCGATCATCCCTACTATGAAGAAACAGAACACAAGGATCCAAATGACTTGAATCCTCAAAACTACTCTGGTTCCAAATAGTTTATTGAGCACATATTTCCCTTTTAACAGTGAGTAAGCGAATGCAAACAAAAAAAAAAAGAAAAGAATACACGTAAGACCTGTGCTTACAGGATGATGTAAGTCTTTTAGCTGCACTGGGGTAAATCAGGCCTGGGGCTCAAAGGATATGTACCATATGACAATCACACAATAAAAAAACAACTGCTGTGCATTTTAAAGTTTGCAAACCTAACCATCTTGTGGGTTTGCAGTGTTTAGTGAAGCCCATGCTGAGTGAGAGTGGTCACCGATGTTTAAATTCCACAACTAAAGTTTCAGTAGCCGAAGTAGTTCAGCATTTGGGCAGCTACTCTCGCCATTCCTTAAATCATCTGTGTAAAGACTTGTTTACAGAGAAGAGACCATTTCCACCGTTCGATAAAATAAAAAGAGATGGGAAAAAGCACATTTCTTTTTTGATTCAAGTAGTCTTCACAGAGCAGACAGCAGGATATACATCATGATAAGTAGTCCAAAGCCTTGAGTCTCACTTAAAACCATTTATGGACGTATCAGCTATGTCATGGCATCATAGTGAATGGCAAAAGTATAAAATCTCTTTCATGGCACTTGGGACACCTGGTGAAAATGCAATAAAGATCAAAGTGCAACAACTAAAATATCAGAAAACATTGGCACGAACACACTTCATTTTATGGGAGAGAACACATCGTTCGGGATAACCTCTTTAAAATAGCCAAGTGACAATAAGCACATTATGACAAAAAAATAACTCATGCTAATGACTTTTATGAGCAGATAGTATTTGAACCGAAATTTGAACAAATTAGATCCTCGTTATGATCAAACACACACATTATCCTATTGTGATGTGACAATTTCTTTATCCAGCTGCCAGTGATGTAACAGAGTAATATGAACAACTTTAAAATCAGAATTGAAAATACTAACTGCTTTCAGAGCGGGTGACAGCATAAAGCTGGAGACCGAATTTGATTTTCTTTGCTTGGAAGAGAAAAAAATAAAATAGGAGGTTTGTTTACCAGCATCTCTAAGACTAAACTATAGACATCTTGTGATATTTTAAGGTAAATTTGGATCAGAACCAGGTTAACCAGCAACCCTTTTTCTTCCAGTCTAGTGGTATGCTAAATTGCAAGTTTCTGGATGGTTTAGCGTATTAAACAGAAAGACGCTACTTCTAATCTTAGGAAAGACGTTGAAGGGGGGACGGTTCCTTTAACGCATGGTCGCTGTTTCTTAAGGTTCTGTGGTGCAATGGTCTATTATTCTAGCACATTCTCAAAAAATAAAATAAAATAAAAATAATTTCTTATCATACAACATAATAAATCTCACAATGCTTCATGTGTACTGGCACTTAAGACGCAAAGTCTTTTACTTAAAGGCAATATTACACCACAATATTAAAGCAATAATAAATCACATTTCTTTTTAAAAAAGCCAACACGACTTTACAAGAGCTTTTAGAATAAAAAATTAAATACTATAAAAAAAAATCTCACAACTGAAAAGCAAGGAGGCAGTTGAAACGAGAGAGAATGACAACCATTCAGGGTTGTAAACCGTACCGAGTTTTCGACTGCAGCTTTGTTGTCGTTTTCTGCAACCGAGTGCTGCCTAAAGTCATCAAACAGATTGTTTGCAGCTTGCTCCCTGCTGAGTAATACGGTCGACCAGATGAACTTTCAGTTTCAGTGATTCATAATACTTTGTCTGAGCGGAGCGTTTTCAAGTCATTTTCAAATCAAATCAGAAACACGCTTTTGATCCGGTGTTGAAGCGTTCCGTAGAGACTTTTCATCTGTAGACTAGAGAATGAAGATGATGGAGTGAAGACATTTCATTGTCTTTGGATGAAATGCCACTGCCTAGTTGTTTTCTACCAAAGACAGTTCAGTGGCATGTAAACACTCTCCAGATGTCTGCCTTTGAATGCCATCCACTTGTGTGTCAATAATTTAAAATCGGTGGTTTCTGGCAGATTTGACTGGTGCAGTACTCCTCATGGTCTATTATCTTTGGCCAAGGAGTGCATCATCCAGTTGACCTTTGTCTTCCAGCTCTCCCGCAAAGCTTCGTTGAACTTTACTTTAAAATTCTTCAGTGCTTCTTCGTCTGATTTGCCCAAAGCTAAAGAGTCCTTTAGGAAACAAGAAAACAGCTGTGAATATTCTCGCCATCTCACTCAGAGACGTCATTAGCAGCGTTGTCACGTGGGAATACCTTTAGATACTGGATGTCTTTGAAAGAAGTGAGCTCAGGCAGCCCTGCCGCTTTCATCATCGCGAAGAGGTTGACGAAAAGCGTCCCGTTCCGACACAGGATCTTGTAGGCCCGCTCACAGCACTCCCTGAACCTGGGGACAGGGATACCGGACCGGTCAGAGCAATGCAACAGTCTGCGGTAGCTCCAGGTTTGCCATAAAAAAACGGCGGGATTTTACCTCTCAAACTTCTCACTGTTGTTTGTCCTTCCTTGCTGGATAACATGGACAAAGTCGTACGTTAAGATAAAAGGCACGCGCTCCCTGTTGATCCCCAGTTTCCGCTTGAAGTTGCCGAGGAAATGCCCAAAGTCAATGTGGAACAGCTAAGTAGAAAGAGTTGAAATCGCTGTTAAGAAGGTTCTGAACGGCGGATGAGAGTCAACAGGAAATATCTGAACATGTACGCGTCGCATAAACAAACCATCTCTTAGATTTAATTTATTCAAAAGGATTACTGTTATCACCGATCTTGAATTCATATTCACAAACAGCCAGACCATCAGCATCGCAACTCAAATATAAGAATCCTTTTCCACAATGAGCAAATGTAAAAAGAGGCGCCGACCTGTCCGGTTTCCCTGATCATGATATTGTCGTTGTGGCGATCTCCAATACCCAGCACATAAGTAGCTACACAGTAGCCAGCACAGGACAGCGTGAATTCTTCTATTGCTTGATCGAGTTTGTCCCTGGTGACAAAAAACAAAAAAAAAGTAAAGGAAGAAAGGAAACGAAACAAGGAAGAAAAGCATGAGTGGGTTTTGTTATTACAGTACATTTACACCTCTAGTTATAGAACAAGTATTGCACAAACACGCACAAACACGCATAGGGGCTTGAGGCAGACAGTCCCCACTTTGTATTAAATATTCACAGAGGAGTTCCTGTGGCAGATTACTGATTGACTGTTACATCCTCTCAGTCTAGACATCCACCGGATTCCCTGTGTTAAGCTTTTATTCATTTTTGTTCCAGGCTCTGTAACATTTCAAGCCAATTTCCTCTCTGTTCTGCTGTGCATTCAGCTGAGCCTGGATTGCCAGCATAACATAGAAATGTTCATTCATTACATCAAACAGGCTGCTTTATCAAGCAAGCGCAGGCTCCAGGCGGATCTGTGGAGGCCGCATTCTACTGATCAGCTGACCCCACAGAACCCCCCCAAATTCATGTTACAAGGCCTTCAAGCTATTTCAGGGGGGAAAGTGGGACCCACAAAAACTTAATCTGTTGGTTTTGTGCTGTGACTGATTAGTATATATTCACCTATTATAGTAATTAGTTATTATATGAACACATTGTGACACAGGAGCAGTGGAGTGGAGCTACGGTCCACTACCTTCCGGAAATAACACTTGAGATAACACAAGGCTCAAAACGTTGCTCAACTTAATTCAGCTAGCGACAGAAACAGAGTGATTAGATCAGAGTGAATACAATTCTTAAAACATGATAGTTTGAGAGAGTTTTAATGTTTGAAAGTGGGACACAGTGGTGTCTTTGGAGCATTGCTGATCCCTCTGTGTACAACTGGGGACATTTTGCTGAAGAAAAAGGTACATGGGTGAATTTCCTAACCTCCTTGTGCTGCAAGTGTGCTGCTTAAAATAGTGCACTGGTGCAGAAATAACAGAGCAAGTGGCTGGTTGTCGAGGACAATGCTTCCGGAGAGATCAACATGGTCTAAGATGACATTTTGAGGTTTCTAAGAGCTTCCATTGTGTCAAAGTTCATCCCACTCACCCAGGATTCTTCGATTTGAGCCAGTTGAGCAAGGCATCCTTGTTGAAGGCAGCGGTGGCTGCACTGTTGCTGCTGTTGCGCTGGATGTTGGCGATGGTGTCGGAGTTCTTCACCACCTCAATGAGCCCCATTTTGTTCCCAGTCGACAAACAGCCGTACGGAATCATTCTGCCATTGCAGGTGACAAGAAAGCATGTATTTCACTTCAAAAAGAGGCGCTCGCTTTTTCAAAATCATGAAGCCCTGCAAAAAGCAGCCCCCACCTGAGATCCAGACCTTCCTTCTTCCACAGATTCTCCATTAGCTGGATCATCTGTAGAGTCAACATGTCTTGTCGAAGATCTAAAAAGTGATCAGAGAAAAACTAATTAAATAAATCATTTAAATCTTTTAGTTTTCCCTTGATACTTTATATCAAAATAAAGTAGCCTTTAGCTGATATCTTGCCACAGCATATGTGTGAAGCAATATACATTATATTAATTTAAATCTCACCATCTCCATTTTTGAAGATGATGCCCACCATGTCTCCATGAGCTGAGGGGTTCTTATACATCAGCCAGAGGGGCTTCATTTTGGAGTCCATGAATCTGCATTTATCTGCGCTGCAACAGCAGAAGCACTCATTACAGACATGTAATCTTTTTGACAGATTCAAGGACAAACAACTTCTTTCATAAGATACCGAACTATTTTTTTATTTCCAACAGTGAAATGCAACGTTTTGAGTAATGCCCTGTGTGAGCTGATGTTAAGGTATGAACATCATGCCAGAAGACCAAGAAAGCAACCACCTTTTTAAGATGTAGGAGACAAAAACAGTGACACCATTATCATTCATTATATAGAGATCCAAAGTAAGATAAAGTGTCCTGTTCACATGCAAAGTCTCTTTGTCAGCAAGCTGAATCAGTGGATCATTTTGTAATTTGGTAAACCCAGAATGGATCCTAAGTTTGCCCATAGACACATCAGGAAGATGAAAAGTTTCCATCTTGACATTGTGCGTCACTAACCAGATCTCCGAGAGGAGGACGCTGGGGTTGAGAGGCGACATTAGGTCTGACAGGGCTTCCAGATAAGACTCCTGTCGGATGCACAGCTTCAAGTCCTCCACTGTCATTTTCTGGGAGCCGGACTTGACAATGTCGCTCAGGGCCTTCATTTTGCCCAGGGCCTCGTTCTGTGCGCCACAGGTTGAGATACAGAATGACACACATGCTCTATTTGGGCTTTACACTATGCAAATGGGGGGACGTTATTACCTGTTTGGTTAAGAGCTTTATGTGATGGATGTTTCCCCTGCAGTAGGCCTCCAGGATCAGCCCAAAGCGCAAACTCACAGATGCCACGTGAATCTCCGACCTAAAAGAAGCAGAAAATCCCCATTCCAACAAAAGCCTGCAGGGGTAATCTGCCTCACATCATTTCTTTACATCAGGCCACACTTCACCTGAGATGCCAAAACAGAAAGTGTCCGATCCTTCTGTTGGACAGCGCTCTCTCGAGCAGGAACGTTGTGAGGTCACAGTCCAGGTAGGACTCGTACTTCAAGACCTGGACCAGCTGGATTAAGTAGTGCAGCAGTTCATCATCGCTGTGTGCAGAGAAACATCAGTCAGAACAGAACCGTTCAGCAGGTGTACATCTGTAAAAGTCGGGCGCACTGTGAGTACCCGTACCTGAGCTTTTTGAGGCATCTGATGGTGAAAAAGCGGACCGCCGGGTCAGGAAAGCTGTAGTCTAAAAGTTCCAAGGCCTGGATGGCAGGGAGTTCAGGCCAGCTCCTCAGTAAACTCACCATCTGAGGAGAAGAATTTTGAACCAAAATGAGAACAATCCTTGATCGAAGAAAAGTGGTAAAAGTTGATGTAAGTCTCTCCATTGGCCGTATTCCTCTGATTTATAGCAGCAAAAAATATCTATAAAAGGAGATCTGAATTAGGCATGTGTTTAAAGAAATACACATTAGTGACCCCAGTAAAAAAGAGAGGGGCTCTTAGCGACATACATTTACAGAGCGTTGTCCTCTGAAATGAAAGATAATTGAATCCTTGTAAAGATAAAAGTTTTTAAAAATGTTTCTTAAGAATGTGACACTCCTGGTTATTACAGATTTTTATTACTATTCTCATTGTATGTTGCACGTGTACACATCTAAATCTGCTTTTAGAACCTTTAATACCTTATGTTTCTTTTGATAAACAAGAAACATTCTTTCACAGGCCAATAAAACTCAAGATAAATTTGGTTATGTAAAATCCCTATACTGCGCTCTGAATGTCTGTGGTTAAGCTGATGAAAAATTAGACACAGAACAACACTGCCGGAAACCTGGATGCTTACACGGTACACCAGAAATAGCTGGGGTTTTTTACAGTCCACATAAATAACACATGCTGACTCTGAGGAACAAGACTAAAGAAACATTTATACCCAGAGGTTAAATACTACCGATTCTGGTCATAGCAGGCCCTGTATTAGTTCAAAATAAAGTCATGGAGCTGACTGCATTGATAGAAAAGTCTCATGTTTCCCAGCTGCTTTTCCTTTTTGCTCTTTTACTCAGTTTTGGATATTTGGTCATACAAAAGAAATATTTTAATTCTGCTATTCTGAGCTTTAAAGTCCTACTCTGAGTTTGTGTAAGCCTTGCTATCACAAGACACAGAAGCAGACTCAACCCCCTGTGCCTTCACACATGGATAAAGGAAATCGCCATTTAAAAGGGGTTGTTTTAAGTAAGCAATGCCGCATTTTGCATCATATTGCATACTGCACCAGTTTTAAATAAACATCTACATAAAACCTGACAGCATGGTCACTGTGAGAACGCCAGCTTTGAGATGTTCAGATCATTTCCTAACATTTTAGCAAGTCACTTAATTAGTGAGTTCATTGGCTAGAATAGAAAAAAAAGCAAATACGTGAATCAAACATTTCCAAATTACTTAAAACTACTAAGAAAAATTACATCAAATACTGCTAATTCTAATTATCCGTTCATACCTGAACAACGTCCTCACGCTTATTCCACTTAGTGATGAGGAGCAGCTTGGACAGACTTTCTGGGTAATAATCACGGATTTCTGTGCGGAGCCTCCACAGGAGCTCTTTCTCATCCTCAAAAAACTCTGTGGAGTTTTTGTTGTCCATGATTTCTTTTAGCTTCATGTACTACACGCAAAACACAAGAGCAAGTTAGAGAAACAACTGTGTGGTAAGCAAGAAACAGCTTCAATTAAATTGTAGAATATTAAGTATAAACTTTTTAAGAATGGATGAATTGTTGAATTGGAGAGTCTTACGTCTTCTTTAGAGAGAAAATTAACATCACCATTCTTCTCAGTGTCACTTATCTGAAAACAGATTAGGTGTTTTTGACTCACTGTGACAGAAATCAATGCTTTCACCAGACAAACAGCTTTCGGGAAAAGCTACCTTGGTAACCGGAGGGTAATAAAGAGGGTATGGCCGGATATTTGGGAAGCTGATGAGGAGCCCGGCAGCACTGTCCACATTCGGGTTCTTTTCGACTGTTCCCATCGGGTTCAGGAGGTCACTTTTGTCATCTGTAATAAACATGTCATAGGTAAAAACATTTTCTCAAGGCTTTTTGTCCACACAGTGGACACACACATTTTAACTCTTATCTTTAACAAAGTCTTACACGGACTGCCCTGCAAAACCACAGGAGAGACAACCAAAAAAAACTAAAGACAAGAAACAAGAATTGCTTCATGCCAGAGCTAATAGACGTTTACCAACCAAACCACCAAGCAGCTATACTTCCGACTCCTAAGAATTCATCAGCATATTCAAAATGTCTTCATATGTTGTGGTTTCAAAGTGCCATGTATCCTTCTGAGTATGTTAGACAGCAGTCAGTGCTAACAGGCAATGACAGGGGGGCTGTGTGCGTGCAAGGTGTGAGGGGAGGCAGAAAGTACCAGGAACAGACGGCCACGTGGACAGGAGGTACTCTCCAGTCTTCAGCTGGTCCTTGTAGTCAAACACCATTGTGTTCACCCAGGCAATTGGACAATCCTAAAAAGACAGAAGCCGCTAGGAGCGTTAGTTTGGTTACTAACCTGCAATCTGAGTTCTAAAAAATTCCCCCTGACCGTCCATCGTTTACTTCGAAATGCTAGAAGATGAGTCGGTTTTGTTGAGCTGATTTCATATGCAGCGCTTTGTAACAGCTTTTCACGTGACTGTCCCTCCAAATGTAAATATGTTTCCAAGTCAACTCATTAGCAAACCGGAAATTCTGTACAGATAAAATTGTTTTTATCAGTTCATCTTGAATGTTCTGCATCTCTAACCCTTCCTTGTTCAAAGCATGCTTCGTTGTAGAAGTTAACTGGATCAGGAAGCATAACGAAAACTTGACTAATTTTGAAGAAAAGCCATTTGCAGTTTCTTGCGGCACGTATTAAGTTCTTATTTTCTCGCTACCTTCACGTAGTTCCAGGCAGAGCGTTTAAAGTGAAGTTGAGAAAACAGAGTCGATAAACAAGGATGGCTAAAATAGCTCCACTTCCGCCCTGCCTCTGCAGCGTCTGGCTGCAGGACTTCTCTTCTGGGCAACAGAAGTGAGAAGTGGCTCAGAAAGCAGAAGTGGCCTCGCTGCTCTAAAACACACCTGAGCACCATGTTTGGGTGGACTCCCCCAGCATGGTGCCCACAGCAGCTGCAGAGCTGTCAAAGCAAGAGATGCCCAGACCACAGCTGCAGAAAAAGGGGAATTTGCTGTTCACTGAGTGGGTGTGAAGTACTCCTGCTGGTGAAAATGGGCTTTGAACAGGATTTTTTTTCTGACTGGCATAATTAATTGCTCCATTTTATCAGAATAACAATGGGCTATTTTAGAACAGAAAGCAAACAAAAATCCCTGAAAAACCCTGAAAAAAAAGCACAGAAGCACAGTGTTAAGTTTTTTTTTTTCTACTTGAGTACACAGTGCTGCTTTTTGAAAGGGGCCTTTGGTTAAATCAACATTGCTAGCATATGCAAACTGCATTTCACCTGCATTCAAAATATTCTGAGTCAAAAAGAAAAAAAAATATATTTTTAGAACTTGTGGCTGTGGTTGCGAAAATCTTAAAGTATATATTGTTATGGTTGGAACTGTCATTTTGTAGGCTTTTTCTTACTAATTTTTCTATATATGAAATAAAGATTGAAACACCTGTTTCTAATAAGAAATACTGTTTTAAACAGTCTTTTTGCACTGGTCAGACAATCTAGCATTAAGGGTAATCACTAAAAATAAAGGTAAGATGCTGAACATACTTTTCATGCTGTTTAGGCCTTTTAAATTAGGCCTTGAAAATATTTTTCAAGAATGATATATCATATCTGCAAATGAAAGTAGAGTAGGAGAGCTGCCTATTCAAACTCCTGGCGTCAACAATGATGATTGAAGAAACGTGTAAAAACAGATTAATGTTCTTATTAGCTGTTGTTTTTTACATTGTCTTTTGATGTTAAAAGTTTTTGACTGTAAGATAGATAGAAAAGAAAAATAACACAGTTGTTTATCTATGCAGTTTTACATCGTGCAATCTGAAAATCTTGCAAATGTGTTTGCATGTGTTTGCAGCTAAAAATATTGCATGGGCCTGACCAAATGTAAATGTTTTCTTTTTCAAAAGCCCCAGCTCTCTCATCTAAACTCTCCCCCGTGTGAGTTGTAACACAGAAAGTGAGCTTACCAATGTGTGTGTCATGGTTCTGAGGACTGACTTAAAATTCCTTGAAAATATTTACCAATTCCTTCCTTCCTTGGACTGATGCGCAGATAAAAGAGTTAAAGCGGATGAAATGTTAACCGCAGTCTTGCCACTGAATACACTTGCACAACCAGACGCAACAGCAAAACACACCCACACAGCACACACATTACTGGAGAGGAAACAGATCTGCTTGTGCCTGCCAACAAACTTGCACCCACCAGCTCGAGCCCTCTCCTGCTCACAACTTATGAAAAACTCACAGCTTTCTTGTTCTTCTTTTTGGTGCCGCGGGGTTTCTTGGTTTTCTCAATGACAGCATAGAGGGCGAAGCACAGGCGGCTCATGCGGGGCAGGTCGGACACGTTTATGTCAAACTCCAGCCTCTGGTCCCACAGCGGCTCCGAGCACACCGTCACCTCCGAGCTGGTCACCACCTTACAGAGCAGCTCGCTGCCATGGAACAGGCCGGCCTGCACCACAAGCTGGAGGGGAAGCACACACACACACGCACACACACAGAGGAGATTAGATGAAGGCATGACATGTCATTTGGAAGCTGAAGCATTTAGCACTTGCATGAGGCTGATTGTTTGTTGAAGATTTACAGACTTCACGATGGATGATTCAGAGCTTCCGGTGTCACTCAAGCTATGAGTCAAAGGGGTCTGGGTGTTTTGAATGTAAACAGGCCATAGCGCATTTTAAGGACCACAAGATATATTAAAGCGCTGCAAAATCATTAGGTGTTGACCATTTGGGTGAAATGAGATGCAGCCAGGGCCCATGTTTTCAAACCTCTGCCTGCAAATGGTGGACGGGGCAGATAATTGTGTAACGGCACAAATTAGACATGAGTCATGATATGCCAAGGCATCAGCCGGAAGAGCACTTAAACCTAACATCTAAACAGTTACACATTAGTTGTTGAGCGCAAACACATGTTTGCATCTGTCACTTTTGTTCTGATGTGGTAGAGCGCAGCACAAAGGAATACCACAATATAACTGTATATTTGTACGTCCATTTCCTCTTATTTACATAGAAATTACCGAGAAACACTGACAAGTTGTATGTTTAAACATAGTCCAGGACCGACAAAATGCATGGTGTGTTAACAAAAAAAAACAGAACTACCCCCATCTGAAAGCAAGTGTAGAGAAGACAGCATGTAGACTGTCTTTTTTCTTAGAATCTAGGCCTCAGAATGAGACGTGAAAACCAGATAGGCCCTACCCACTTCCTGTTTTGAAGTTCTAACCAACCGCCTTGATGAATTATGGGAAACGTGTGGTCTGAACCATGTGACTCCCCTGTCATTTACATGTCAACTTCACTGTTCGTACAACTGAAATTGAGATATTGGTAAACAAGTCCATGCCACATTTCATTGAGCAGCAAAGCGAGAAAAAAAAAAAACCCTACACCAAACCACACAAACCTTCATTCCTTCATCTGCATTGACTCGGCTGCCCTGCACCAGGTGAATGTAGAACGACTCATTGATGGACCAGAGGGAGGACGTGTTCTGCTGTAAGGGGTCAAACAGAAGGACATTCAAATACGCACTCTCATTTCAAAATTGCATTCAATGTTTTCTCTGGAATCCAAGTTATGAAACGCTTGCAACAGTTTCCTGTTTTAGCAACGCTAAAAGAAATTTGCTTTGAAAGATTTGTAAAATTCCAAAAAACTGGGAGACCTTTCAACTAAGTCACCTTTGAATCATTATAGCACTCTTAGCTTCTCATGTGATTTTTTTTGTGTGACTAATTTCGGATAAAAGCTTAAACTTTTGCCTGACCAGTGAACTTTCAGAGTATCAAACCCAGTACATGTTCAACTTCAGGGAATCGGAGCAAAGCCGTGGAAGATGTAAATCATCTACACGGTGCTGCAAAGCAGAATTAAAGCGTGCAAAAGTCCACAGGCCGGTTGAGGAGCAACCGTCCCGGAGGGAGGAAAAGAGAGAGCCCTCGGTTAATGAAAGACAACTTCTTACCTTCTTTACAGGCAGAGGAGGAGGCCTGGACAGGGAGCGACTCTTGTACATCTGGTTGCACATTGTGCCTTGCTCCTCCTGATATTTGCTGATGGTTGAGTGGTGCACCATAGTGAGCTGAGGATTCTGGCCATTTCTCAAACATGAGAAAATATACTAAGACAGAGAGAGAGAGAGAACAAGAGGGGACAGAGGGTTGTTTTTTTTTTATTTGTTGCTCTCTGGTACAGTCATCACTCAGCTCACCCACAGATATTTCCCAGTGTCCTGATAGCATTGGTTAACTCCTGAAGGCTGTTCATTTGCTGTAGGTTAATGCAGTCAAAATCTCATTATGTGTGGATGGATGCAGTTCCTCTCTGCAGGGCTGCTAGACCGATATGAGTCACCCCTGCAGGTAGCTGTAGTTTCAAAATCAACAGTGGAGACTCCTGCCACTAAAATCTTCAACCAAACCACTTGTGATCTGACTAACGTTTCTGCTACCACGGACCACCTGCAACAGGGAAAACTCACAGACAACAAGAGGACAAACAACACGAGATTGGGCAGAAAAAAAGGACTCTTCTACTTATTTTTTTTTTACCATGGATGCAGTTTTTAAAAATAAGGGCTAAGATTCTTACAACTATATCACACTATGAACTTGAATGAACCTTCAGTAAACGCGGAATTTGTTGCAATGGGCAATGTGGCAATGAAATGTGAAATAATAGCTGAGAGCCTGCAGAGGTCCCGCATCCAAAAAAACTGAATGCCCAAATGAGAGAGAGACATGAATGATGGAGGCTGCAAGCTGCTCTGTGACATACTCCGTCACAGGGAAGCACGCTGACTATTGGAAACAAGTAGTGTGACATCTGCGCCTACTGCCTCTTTGCAGCACATCCAGAAGGCTCGTGAGGAAAAAAAAAAATGTTGCATGCTACAAAAATATGAAGGAAGATTAGTTCTGGTCTGAACAAAAAAATAATCCCACGTGATGCTAAAGCACAAGAAAAAAAGGTGTCTCACAACTTGTGCTACTATGGAAGCTTACACTTTCCTTTAAATAATTCCAATTATGCTCATTAACTGATTTTCGGGGCTGCAAGTATTAGTGTCAGCATATAATCTTATTCATGCAGCATTTTTCTGTAGCAGTCCTTTTTTTTTTTACCCGTCCGCTTTGTTTAGGGTACTGCCTCTTTAAGACCCGACGCCCTCACAAAAAGGGCCCACTCTCTCCTGGTTGGTCAACTCATTGTTGGAAATAGTCAATTAAATAAATAAAATGGATAGTTCTTTGTTCTAAGCGTGAAAAACAAGCCACCAGAGAGGAATTATTCAATTTCATTTTACAGTAAAGTAGGTCAACAGGACTGCTTTTAAAATAAATAAATAAATAGAAATATCTATTCGAGTATGTCTTTTGAATGGACCGTCCATGACACCAAACCTTTCATTCTCAGTCTTAAAAGCAGAGAAAAACATGAAAAGTTGAACACCAAAGCCTTCAGCTTGCATTACAAAATACATCTATTTGCTTTTAGTAACTGTATGTGAAAATCATACCGAAACTAGTCATTTAAGACTCAAATAAAAGTAAGTATACTAACATCTTATTTAGCCTGAGCAGAATGTTCAAGTAGCAATAATATTCAACCATTATTAAGTGACTACCAGCAATAAACCACTAATCAAATAGAAATGAGGAATTGAGTTGTATTTAGTGTTAAATTTAGGTTAAGCTAAAGATTTTAAATGCAAATTCTCAGAATCTGGCCGATGCCTGTCCCTTAAGATGCCGTCAGACTGTTATATCTGTATTTGTGACTTATAGTAATCAATCATTTGGCAGCAATAATTCAAATCAAGCCGTACAGATAGAGATTTCTGTTCATCTGACTCCCAGTTCAAAGCAATCCAGTGAACCAATGAATGAAAATAACATTTTGGAACAAGGAAATAACTTGCCATGCTTTTGGAATGGGCAGAAACTCACTTTGAACTGGCACATTGGGTGTTTCCCATAGATGAACTCCCACCTCCCGTTGACCTGTAAGGTGTAGTCTTCAGGCACCTGTCGCACCGAGCGAAAGACGGTGGCCTTTTTCTTCAGGGCGCTCTTCATCAGAGCCAGAGGGAAGTCCTGAGCGTCCTGCTGAAGCATGAAGCTCTCCTGTAGGAGAAAGCATGAGTCAAACAAAGGTACCAGCTGAACACAAAACTCACACAACTTGGAGCTGCAGACTCTCTGGATCCCGTGCCTAAATGGTGTCATTTTGAATGTCGTGTTTGTGCCGTGGGAGGGGGATTTCCAAAGGTGCTCACACTTACTTTAAACCATCCTCCACAGCAAGTCTACAAAAGTGGAACCACACTTTTTCCAATCAAAGTTATTGTTGCTCTTTGTGGGCTTCACAACTGCTGCCCCATTAAATCACAACACCGGCAGCTCAGCTATGAGTCATGGCAACGACGACAGCACAACTCACATCACAAGCCTCAAACTTGACATTGATGAAAAGCTTCTTGCTGTTTTTCGACTTGGCGCTCCCACAGTCTGGAGGGGAGCCGCAAGGCTCCAAGTCGCAGGGGAAGCTGTACTCCATCCACTGTTGCCATGGCAAATTCTGCCGCTCGTGGGCCTTCTCCTCGCAAAACGTCCGCATCTTCGTTCGGAACTCATTCACCTCGTGGTTCTTCTGGGTTTCAAACTCGTGCAGACCTGGTGGGGAACACAACACGAGGCTTTACGCTGTGGCATTCATTCATTACTGACGGCAGAAACTAAATGGGACTGAAATCCAGAGAAGCGTGGATGTGCTTTCAGCTGGAGGGTTCTGTCTTTTTGATTACTGAGAACTGTGGAAGGCTGAACATTTCTTTAAAAAAGGCCATGGTTTAGACTCTCTCACACCACACCTCTGACCTGGTTACTTGTTTTTTTTTTTTCAGGTGGGATATTTTAGCACTGTGCACAAGAGCCTGAAGAATGGTGGATGTCAATGGTAACGTTCTCATGAGCTGCAGACATTACAGAGCTCATGACTCTGGCTTTTAGAAACTACATTTTGAATTATAGAATCAATCATTGAATTAGAGCTTTGGACGGTTCCCCAGTCTGTCAGAGGGCCACGCAGACAAACAACCGTGCACGCTCACACTCACTCCTGGGGTTGGTTTTGACTCATTAGCAACGTCTGATAAAAAACTAACCTGCTTCTTAAGGAGTAACCAAAAAATAATGCAGGCGTACAAACCCCCCTACCACCAGAAATGTTTGGTTTTCTAATCGTATATAAATATATGTACCCACTATTGTTTAATTCCTTAAGAAATGTCAGTGTGATTGTGATTCTACAGCAGGGCCGGTGCAGCTCAGCTGATAAAGCACTCTCATCCTCTGTGACCATGACTGAAGACTTTTTACCCGCCTCCAACAACCATCCAAAAAACCTCTCTGGAACTGGTATCAGCCTCGTAAAACCCAGATGGCGCTTACCTTTGCCAATTAGCAGGCTGATCTGAGTGTTGGTGAGCTTCTCCACGCGGTCCCCCTCCCTCGCCACCAGCCTCAGAACACACATGAAAGGCCGAACGTCGCTTATCCGCCTCGACTCTTCCTCCAGTTCCTCCCGCTCGGCCGTCTGGTTTATGCAGGTGAAGACATACCCGTCGGGGTCGCCCAGTCCACTGAACAGAGCTTCACTTCTGGCATTTTTCCAAACCATCTTAAAAAAAAAACACACAGAACAAAAAAGACACATACTTAAGAACCAAAGTTTAAGACCTGAGGCCCACAGTGGGCTCACAGTCCAGAAACATGACAGAGCTCATTTCTCAATGTCATTTTTATTCAATTTTTTTCAACCCAAACCCGTTACGAGAATCACCCTGACAGCTTCAGATCATTAAAAAAAAGACAAACTAGCAGTGATTCACCACGAGCAGAGAGGCATTTCATCTCTGAGGCTTTCCAAGAGAATCATTAGGGAGCGCGGCCGGATCGAACAGCATGAAGTGGCAGAACTGTTGGCAGGCCGGCGCTCCACAGCAGATCTGCCTCAGCCGAGAGCGGTCTGCGCTCACAAAGGAGCAAAGCTGCAGCTTCTCCTCTCAGAGCTGTGTCAAAACTAGCAGGCAATGTTTGAACTCCCGCACATCTCAGTTGGTTTAATGTCTGAGGGAACGAGTTCAGTCTCAGACTGGATTGGGAACGTATTATTGTATTGTCCAGATGTCACTGGTGTCTCTGCCTGCTGTGTTGTCCTCTGATCAATGTCAGATTGAAAAAAAAAAAAGGGTTCAAATGACTGTGAGGGAGTTCTCAATTTCACCTTTTTGATGGTTTTGATGGTGTCGTTTCGAGACACCGGGAATTTGAGGAAGATCCCGGTCGGCAGCAGGAAGTCCATGTCGATCTGCTGGTCTCCCTCGTGCTCCCACTCCTCCTGCATCCCATACTTCCCTGGGGGCATGATGATGGCCTCTCATTTACCGTCAGCTCCCCCCCGCTGCTGCTCAGAGCACACAGTCCAAACAGAGGAAGCACAGCCGGGGTTAACAGGTCCACTATTAACCAGTGTGTCAAACGCTTGTTTGTTCCTAACATGATCTGGACTAAGTTATTGTTTTAAAATCAATAGACTGTGCAATAGGATGTAGGGTCGCAGGAACTTATTTCACCTCTGTGTTTTGAAGTTGAATGAATAATACGTTTAATGGAGAACTTACTCAGCTTGTTTAGATTTGTGTGTATGAGTGTCTGTGTGTTGCTGATTAGTGATTTTGGCACGCACAATATTTGATCCTTTACAGTAAAACGATCAAGGCTCAGATAAAGTGAAGATGCACAACAAGAAATGTGTGCAGGTTCCTGAATTTATCATGCACACTGCATAATCTTCACACGTTGAGAAAACCTGCTTCTGCTTCCCACAAATTCACCAAATGACTGAAATCAGTCGTTTGCCTTAAACTAATCGCGCAATGTTGCTTTTTTTTGGTCAAATGACTGAGAAAATATGCAGCTTGTTCTTATTTCAAGAACTTATATGTAAATTGAGCATACTTCAAACCCCCAAAACATCAATAAAGTGCACCTGAATGAATCGAATGTTCTTCTAGGTGGTGCTGAGCAAAAAAATACTCTCCATATCCGTAAAGGAAATGAAAGCAAAGGGAGCACACACACAGAGACACACGACGTTGAACGTCTGAGAGCAACTTACGCGCAGTCTGTGAAGGCGAGAAGCTTCGCCAGCCTGTTGCTGTTTCTTACTTGCCTGTCAGCTCTACGAGCCGGTCATCTCCTCACGGGCTATCGCGGCGAAGATGGAGAGCTGTCACATCACGGCGAAACGTCCCGCTTCCCGTGAACGTCTCCCGCCGAAGTGAGCGCGGGCACCTGCTCGCACAGAGGGGACCCACGGTGCGTTCACGGCTCCGGACGAGCGGCGACGACAGCGTTTCCCTGGCCGGCTCCGCTGGGGCCGGCATTCACGCGGCGGCGGTGCTGCTTGGCGGAGGCCGGCTGAGTGACTGAGAGGGCGGCCGCGCGCTGCCTGTCAGCTCGCTGCTGTGGGGCCGAGGCGAACGTCCGCCGAGGGGGAGGAGCCTCGGCGCATCCAGGCCCCGCCCCCTTCCGCCTCGGGGCCCCGCCCCCTCAGCCTCAGCCTCACTATCCGCAGCCAGAGATATCAGAGATATCTGTAGTAAACAAGCAGCCCAGTGAGCATGTTTTAAGAGTTATGTGTTATTAAAAATGTTTGACGGGGCAAGGAAACGTTCAGACAGAGACAAATATGTAAAAGACTTAATCCGCGTGTCTGTAAATGCTTAAGAGAAGAAGAAGGTTGCGCATATAGGCCTGTTATTTCGTGTCACACAAAAAGCCATCAATAGTTTTGTACTTTGCACTTGGCTCATATCAAATAATATATTCAATATTCAAGTTCTCTCCAAAAAGTATTTAGAGACAAACAAAACAGGACACTGTACAGGTACTGTAGCCTTTTACTGTTGACTTTCAGAAACCTTCCATAATCTAAAATTATTGAAGTGTCAGTTAAGTGTGTTTAGGCAAACTAATAACTAAAATACTCAAGTCGTCATGTAGGGCTTCGATGTGTGCAAAGACATAAACAAATTAAAAATATTCACAGTTTTGTCTGAGAAACAGCAGGGAAAATTACCCACAAAAACGTTCATCATAGATTAAGTGTCCTGTAGGCCTATTAAAAAGTGTTTTCCCCATTGAGTTTTAAGAGGAACTCTAGTTCTTTCCTTCTTTTTTGGGAACCTTCCTGAATTAGCATTTTTCTAAATGTAGATGTCCTTTCTCACAGGGAAATACTTTGACGGTAACTCTTCATTACCCTTTCTTCTTGCCCTGACAGCAATCAGATCAGTAACATTTCAGCTTTGCAGAAGATAAAGCACAATGACACCACGGTTGTGGAAGTGCAGCGTAAACCACTTGCGATTATGTAGAAAGGGGAAATAAAAAGTCCGTTATCAACCGAATGAAATTCCAAACTCTTTTTTGCTATTTAACACACTTTGCTTCGCTTAAAAAAAAAAAACTAAATTCAGTGCCAGACCATTTCTGAGCAAAACATGGAATAGCAGTGCAAGCAGTGATAGCATGTTTTCATCCAGTTTGGTTTTTAGGTGTTAATCACTATGTGTCGGTGGTCTACTACCTCTGAAAAGCTAAGTTTCCTGTTAAATTTCATTAAGCCTACCGCCATGAACTCTGAATATTTGCCAGATTATGATCTCCTGTTGTGAAGAATACAACATGTGTTTGTGATCTCACTTCAGACCGGCTGGTAAAAACAGGAAGCTACTGTGCAGAAGAGAAACCTTTCGACCACCTCGTCCGGCTCAGAGCAAGAACAAACTTCCCACCCCGGTTCAGAGTCTCCTTAAACTGTGTCTGAACAAAATGCACATATCTGCCTTCTTTTGACGGGAACTGCAGCCGGAGCCCTGCATTTCCATGTCGTTAAAGTTTAGTTTATAAGGGTAAACTTTGAATAAGCAATAAATATAATAAACATCTGCTACTGTCAGAACATGCATAATCTCAATGTTAAAGCTGCCACCAGAATCAGGAAGTTTTTCAGTGCAGTCAGACACAGAATGATTCCACAATATATGTAACTTCACAAATTGGTAGAGGCAACAACAGCAAGACTGTGTGATGTTCAGATGTGTGACCTGTTTACTGTCATTCAGGGTCTGTGGTGGGGGTTTCGAGTGGTTCCTGAAGATGCTCGGCCTGGCCCTGCATGCTAAAAACAGAAATAGTCAGAGCAAGTACATGTTTTCTGCTTCTGTTCTTGTAATGAAAAAGAAGAATGAGATTATGGCAATAAACAGATGATGAGAACGGCATGTAAATACCAGAGAAAAAAAAAACTATAAACCAGAACAATAAAACTAATAATAGTCCATTTCACAAGTAAGCTGATAACTGACTCTGTTTGGAAGGTGCTTATGGGACAACTTGCTGGCATACCAGGATGAGAAGCATTTCCATCTCACAGGGAGCAGATGATTTTGTTCAGAGCTGCGCTAAAAATACAAAAACAGAGAAGTGAGGACTCCCAATTGAAATAGTAATATCGAGCTCTAAAAAAAGATTGCCGGTTTGGGAGTCCAAATTTAGTTGGTTCTCTTGTTTTTTGCTAGGTTTGACGTTCTTGTTAAAGATTAAAAGAAAAATGTTTGCTAGCTCATTTGAGCACGTTGATCCGAGTTGTCAGGAGTTCCTAGGGATTTCTGGGGAAGATCATTCACCAAAAACCAAATAGAGGCGTAACTGCTATAAATGTGAGTGCAGTGGCAGATTCAGAAAGTTTAAGTGACTCCATTTACTACAGTTGTTACAGACACATCCAGACATCCCTGTTTGCCATCTGTTATTTTCAGCCTCAGTTTATTGCTACAGCCATCTAGATGCAAATGAAAGAAAATCATTCTGTTGTGATACTGTAATTGTGGAGAAAGTTACCAGGAGAACGTGCTCAAATTTGTTTTTGAGATGGTAAAATGAATCAACACCAAGTTGTGACAGTCAACTACCCCTAGCCAAATTTAAGATTCTGGGGTAAGATCAATCAGATTTACTACCATATGGAGAGAGTATGTCTTTGGGAAGATGGGGTACAATGACCTGTAATGCTTTGCTTCTGTTTGCTGTCAGTTTTAAAATGACTTGAACCCCACGTGGCTTGTTTGAGGCAGGTGTAGGGGAAAGTCCCTTCAGTCTAAAAGTAGGAAACAGAACATGGCGCTATGGCTTGGGTTTGCGAAAGTAAGCTAAAGAAAACACTCCTGTGAAACACTTTTGGAGCCCAAACTGGAGCTGTGTGGTCATCATGCACAGCAACAATTCACCCATAAAGCACGGAGGTGGAAGTCGGAGGAACGATGATTTGGGCTGGTTTTGCTGCCACAGGACCTGAGCAACTAAATGTGCACACACGGTGCTTTTTTAAGTTCAGTTGATCATTGAACAAAGGCTCTCTGTTTGAGCCACATTCACTTACACAGCACATCTCAGCTTATACAGCCCCCAAACGGCTACAGAGTACCTTTATCCTTTATCACACAAACTCAAACACCAATGGATACTTGGAAGGCAATGGGGCAACTCATCAAGTCGTATTAGTCAACAACCCCCCCCCCCACCAGGAGTCACTGAGTTGGGCGTGAACTGTTCTGTAGTTTAATGTCAAATATGAGGAAGTTAAATTACTCCCACTGAACAGGACAAGCTTGAAAAAATGAATAAATATCACTCCCACTGTGATCTGATACCATCACACAGAAAAACAATCAGGCTGTTGGACGGTGGGGATTTTTTAACGTTTTCACGCACCACTTATGCTTTTTGGTTTAGTTATGGCACACTGTAAAATGTCAAGTGTTGCTAATCTGAAGAAGTACTTACCCAAATTTTTAAAAGCTGATGAGCAAAAGACCACTTGTTTCCAGACGTGTTGATGTGAAAAATGTTAGAATTGAAGTAGGATGTCTTTGTTCTCTTTCACATACACACACTGGAATACTCCTTTAAAAATGCAGCTTTGGAAAAACCCAGAATGAAATTTTCTTCAGACCTTTTGAGTGAAGGCCAAAAACTTAGTGTCACTAGCTGATAGACTACATCAGCTTTATGCTTAAAGATTTGTGACTCAAACGTTTCACATCAGCCAGATTCTCTCCATAGAAGCTGAGTAGGAGATGTGAGCCATGACTGAGCATTGGGCTTTGGCTTCCTCCTTCGGGAGGAGCTGTGAGGTTACCGGAGGTTAAATAGGTGGAGCAGTTCTGAGAAAAACAAAAACAAAACTCAACTCTGAGGGCAACAGCGAAGGGGAGGCCCAGAACTAACAATCGGAAAAGGGAAGCAGGAAAACTGACTCGACGGCTAATTTATGACTATATGCAAAGTGAGAGAAGAAGTGGGAGGGCAGCGCTTAAAAATAAAAGGTACCATGCCGTTCAACACAGCCCTGTATCGCCAGGATGTCAGAACACCTGACACAACACGTGTACACACAAAAGCAAAGAAAAAGCCCACGTGGATTTCATGAGCACGCATCAGACACGATCAGGCCTCTTGTGTAACGCACAGCCGGAGCGCGTCGAGTTTGAAGACATTGTTCCTGATAATGGAGGAAAATTTACATCTCCAGCTTCCTTCTCATCTAAGCCTCACTCAGTTGCCATGGCAACCCCCTAAAAGTTCACCTCTCATTTGATGTTTTCAATGTCAGCCAAGTGATGAAATCTGTTCCCTAAACCAGCCAACGGGCTGAAACGCTCCCCGAAACCCGTCAAGTGAAACAGTCTTTGGCTAATTGAGGCTATTGTGTTGCCTTCAGTGGCAGAGGGGGTTAGCACAGCACCCGTATAAAACAACCTGTCCACTTAAGAAAAAAAGTCCCATCATCTCTTAACAGGAACGACACAGAACGCCGAACTATTTAGGGGAACAAAGAAACACTTTATTAAAAAGCTTGGCTGATGAAGCCAATGTGCATACAATCCCAAACAGATCTGTTTCGCAGTCTGCAGCAGCATACCGACTCTTCAAACAATCACTGTAGTGTAAACAGTAAAAACGACTCCCGTTCGTCCAGTCCAAAAACAACATGATTATTTTCAACAAAGAATGCACAATACACTCTAAATACATTTCATATAAAAACTGAAAAACAATTACCTCTCAAAAGACTTCAATCTCAAGACGTTTTTTGCTCGGCTGAAAAAACATTTCCATTTCAACATGTTTGTGTCTCGATCAACAAAGCCTGCGAGGGAGAAAGTCAGTACAAATGCATACAGTAGGGCTTTTGGAAAGGCTGCCAAAGACACTGTCTGTACACCCATCACTGGACAGTCTTAGAGGTCTTCGGTAAGAAATTTCTGTTAATTTAATTGACGTTTGTTTCATTTTCTACAAACTTTGGCTCAAAAGTTTGACAATTTCAAAGAAAAAAGAAAAAAAATCATATTAGCATGCGTTTTAGAAACCAGCTCACAGCACTGTAATCACCCACACAACGCAAAATTAGTCTTCTTTAAACAAAAAACTAAATGTGGTTAATCCATAATATTTTTTAATACACGTTCTTAAATAAATTCATCCTGTTCATACACAGCTGGCAAAAACACAAAATATACAGCTCCTGTAAATGCCACGTTCGGCACACGCATACAAACAATAACCAAACTTTCAGATCAATTCGTCAAAACACAACAGACACCATTCAGAAAGACAGTGTGAGCACTACCAACCTGTGGACAAGCAATGCACTAAGAGCCGAAATCAGGCTGAGATTCTTTTTACATCGTTGTAATAAGTTCGCCGCGATGCATCCCAAAAGAAAAATCGGCGAGATGGCTTGGCTAAAATACACCATTTGTGCACACAGTGAGCATAAAAAAATATTTTTTGTGGCAGGGGGCTCCAGTCAATCCTTTCACAACTGTGACCATGTGAGACAGATATTTGGTTGGAGCTCTTGTAGACATTTAAATGAAAACGGAATTTGACCAAATGCAAAAATGAAAGAAGAATGGCGTCTCCTTTTTGGTTACAGTAAAAAAACAAAAACAAAAATAAACTACTGTTGGGGGGAGAGAACACACTGAGAACATGAGGGGACCCAGTGCCCGAGCAGCATTGACAAAACGACACAGCGCTTGTCGCACATTTTACAGCATGGGTTTCCAAACGCCTTCAAGGTTCAGAGCTCGACTTGAGCTCCTTAAATCAGTGACCAAAAAGCCAAATCAAAAGGTAAGTGACCTGTATCCAAAGTCGTACTTTGATTTTACCTTCCGCTTTTTCTTTTTTTTTGCAACACTATGAAAGAGGAGGTCGGTTTAGCCTGGAAAACGTGTTAGCGGACATCTGTATTTTCAACTAGCACCAGTAAAACATGAGGAATGACCAGAAGGGGAGGTTTTCCATCTCTGCAGAGTGAAGGAGGTCCACGGGAGTCCTGAGGCTCGCTCAGTGCCGTACGGGGGTTACGGGGACACAGCGGTGGGCCGGCGGGCGCTTCATCTCCAGTTGCGATACATGTAGAGGCCGGCGAACAGCAGGTTGGCCGTCAGGCTGGCCAGCAGAAGGCCCGGCCAGAGGAGGCGTTTCCCCAAACCTGGAGGAGAGACGGAGCTGATGAGTTTCAGGAGGAACGGCGACAACAAAGCAGCCGCCGTCCTGCTGGCTCACCCGTCGGGGGAGGCGTGCCCTCTGGGCTCTGCGTCGTGGTGCCAACCTGACAGGCAGAGGACTCCGAGGAGCTGCTTCGTTTCTCTTCTTCAATCACACTGCCATCTCTAATTAGTGAGCTCAGATCTGTCAAGCAAAAACTTGATTTCATAATTATGCTGGGACATAAAGAAGGAAGAAAGTTCTTTCTTTCCAGGGTGACTTGGCGGTGTAACACACTGACACCTGGTGGTCTCTAGAGGAACTTCAGGTCAAAAAGCAGACGTGGGACACGGTCTGCTTCGACCCGAGCTCTACTTACCGTTTTGGCTTTGGAAAGGAGATATGTCGCGGTGGAAGCAGCTGCTGTAAATGGAGGAGGCTGGCTCGGGGCTGAAATGAGACGGGGACAGGGGCGGGGACGCGTGCAGGGGTTCAGGCTCCGGGGAGAAGAGCCGCGGTTTCTGGGTGCTGAAGTTGAGGCGAGCGGGACTGATGAGGGGACGCCGCTGTCTGGCGGAACCTGAGCTGGACGTCACCGAGCCGGCCACCGAGGGAGTCGGGGAGGGGCCCGGGGACGACGGCCGGCTGCCTGACTTCAGAGAGAAGTAATCTGTGGGGAGGGGGGAAAAAAATATTCAAATCCTATAAACTTGATGAGGAACTTCTGATGAAAGGGTGATCGCTTTTAAAACCTGAGGATGGCGAGTTGTTATACAGCGAGGCCGGTTTGCTGCCACTGAACAGGTAACCAGAGTCTGCAAAATAAGAGCAAACCAGTCAGAACAGCCACTATTTTTATATAAGCTTCAATAAAGGAGGGAGAAAAGGGTAGAAAACATACAAAGATAAAAGTATACTTTCTTGCCAGAGAATTAAAAGCTTATCCCAAATTGATTGGAAATTCCTCAGTGGAAAAATATACTTTGATCTTCTGTAAAACCTGTGTAAACTTGAACAAGTAAGTCTTTTATGAAAAAATAAGACTATATAGTCAATTTTACTGCGTGACATATGCGAGTAAATTAGTAGGAAAAAACATGATTTACTCTAAAATGGGTCTGAAATATACAAATGTGTTCTAAGAAATATGACAAGCTAAATATTAATCTGTGACCAGTTCGTAATAGGGTCTCCATTGCATAGCGATTCCCTTTAATTGTTTGATTTCTGAATGCCTGTTTCTTTTTAAGGTCCAGTGTGTGGGGACGTTTGTCTCGGCTACATACACAAAGCTACAAAAGCTGTATCCGTACAACCATTCCGTCATTTGCAAACACAGGCTAGAGGCATAAAAGTGTGTGCGTTACCGGTCCTGGTGAGGGGCGGGATCGTTCCTAGGCACAGGGCTCGGTTGAGGCGCCCGGGCAGCGAGGAAGGGGAAGCCTTGCGCTCACGAGGACCGTGCTGACGGTTGATGAGCTGGGAGAGGTTGGGGGGCGGGGAGGGGATGAACGTGTCCGGGTCAGGAGCCAGAAAAGGCGGCTGGATGCTGAACGGTGGGACTTCTGCGCTGCCTGCAAGGTATCTGCAACACAAGAGCAACGCAATAGTCTAAAACCTGAAATTAAAAAGTAGAACAAAACTTTAAGAAAAAAAGGGTGGCTACTGAGACAGAGAAACCTCCCAAAGTATTTTGTAAAAGAGTTCTACCACAACCGTTTTAGTGTTAACAGTGAGAATGTGAAACACTATGAGCTAGCTCCACTTTTAAGTTATGAGAAAATTTTTCCAGCTGATGGCAGTCACACAGACACCTGCAAACTAAAGGTGTAGAAAGAAAAGAAACAGCTCCAGATTATAGAAACTAAACCGAGAAGGGAGGGAAACTGTCTCGTGTACATTCTGAATCCGTATGCAGATGAAAGAAACGTTAGCGTGTCCAAAGCTCGGAGGAAACGGGAAAACATTGAAAAGACTCTGTTTGTGTGGCTCAAAAACAAGCACAAGCCATATTTTTTCACCAGCGGTTTATTTCATTCCTCATACAGCAAGCATACCTACAAAAGCAAAAAATGTTTGAAAGAAATTTCACACCTAAAACACGACGGGTTTGCTTGTGTTACTGGAAGCCCCTCCACAAGGACAGAGCTCCACTTCCAGAATACACTCTGATCAGCTCAAACATGATGGCAGTTCCCTGACCGACATGTTTAAAGGTGTCCCAAACCCTCTGTACATGCAGGCTCTTTTGTCTTCTCTCCTACACACACTGCTGAGACATTCGGGTATGACATAACACATTTATTACCAACATATTTTGTATCCATAGTAACAGAGAGCAGTGAAAACTACAAGGTTTTTACTGACAAAAGAAAAAATAACCATCGCCACCAAATGCATGTGGGTCTCGTCATTAGTAGCTTATTGTTTAAACATGTCATTAGTACAACATTTTGAATAGGGTGCATTAAACCTAAATACTTGGCACAGTGTAAACTAACATTCATAAAGCTTATACAAGTACAAGAATGATAAATAAAGAAAACACACTAAATGAAACAAACTAAATTCTAGATGCAAAAAAACAAAAACACCATCATAGCTGGAGCACGCACACTGATGGTTTAACACAAACAAGCCTCTTGTGCACAGTGTGTGAAACTTTTGGCAGGTAGAGCTTTACGTATGCAAACGACTGGTAAAAACGCAGGCAGTGGGACCTCTCCCATGTGGTCAGGAGCCCGCCGCGGCACCTTTCACTGAGGCCGTTTAACAGTAAGGAACGCTTTGCTGGGGGACATCTTTACATTTAAAGAATGTCAAAGATGCAGTTTGCCACATGATGCACGTAAACTTCACATCATCATGATCGGACGTTTGTGACTCACGCCATGTTAACTTTTATTTCAATTTTCCTTGTTAAAAAAAGCTGAAAGGCAGCATTAAACTTGGCAACATACAATCATTTGTTTTTGTTTAGTCAACAAACTGCATCTCTAATGTTTCTCTAACATCCAACTTTGAGACTACGGCACCAAAGAGGCTGGTTTGAAAACCTCACTCCATCTACAGGACAGCACAAAATACTATTTGAACATTCAGTGACACCTTCTATACTAGTTAGTGACACATTTTCACATCACTGTCGAATCCCCCCCCCCCCCCTTACACACACACTATTCAATCCAGCAAACAAACACATTAGTGAGGAGTGAAAATGTTATAGCGTGCGGTGTTCATTATTATTTCTAATACTGAATATTAAAAAGGAGCAAAGAGGCTTGACCCTATTGGAAGAATCAAGTTACAAAACAAATAAGTGTGGTACATGATAGTGCTTAATATTTAGCTTTTAAACCATCATTTAAAGGCTTTACTTCATTTATAAAGTAATTAATTCAAAATATATTTAGCTCGGAATATAGTAGACTATAGTAATGACTATATGTGCTGAGGTTGAAGTCTAACATTAAACAACTAACACTGAGAATAAATCATGAGAAACTCACAACAAGCGATACATTTTCAAGTTGTTTCACGTCTCCTAAAAGAGTTCTTAATACAATAATAATAATAGTAATAATAATGGTAACCTGAACATTCATAAGTTTATACATACAGTGTTGTGCAAAAACTCAATTTTTTTTTATTCTGATCAATTGAAACTTGAGAGTTACAAGTCCAGATTCTGAGATTCTGGCTCCTGGTGGCCTGGCCAGAGGCCTGAGCTCAGATGAATAAACTCTGTGCAGGATCACACAGTAAATCTGAGACACAGTGCCATTTCAGAGTAAAAAAAAGGGATGAAGCAAATCCTGCTAGAGTCAGATAGAGTTTTTGCACAATACTGTAGGGAGCAAATATTTCCTGGGTTTTTAGGCTTAAAGCTGAAGGTTCTGAATCACATTAAGTAACAAAAATCATAGAATCTTAACGATGACAGGCGAAGAACCAGAGCGAACTGGAAAGTCTTCTTACCAATTACAGAATCTATGATCTGGTATTGAGTGCTTTTCTACAGAAAACATTCAGGTTTTTGCATATTTTGCCTTCCACTTTCCATTTTCTAACTAAATGGTTCTAAACTATCATCACTATCTAAGAGCTATCTATCAAGTGTGTAGAGTTTGAATCAGCTGTTCGGAAGAGCACAGCCAAACAAATGCTGTGGTGGCAGATCTTGTCTGGAAATGGGAAACTTCATTCACATTTGAACATCATCGCATGCGCCTGCTTATAAATATAGCCAGCAGCTACAAAAACTACAGCCAACGTGATCGGTCACTGGGTTCCAGGTTTCCCCACTAAACTACCGACATTCATCACTGAAACCCTGATGGCCGCACATTAGGTCCAGGTCAAAAAGAGACCGTAGTGTTTAGAAATCACAGAATAACATTACAGCAAAGTTACAGGAGAAGGAATCTGCTCATTCAGAAACCACATCTCCAGTATGGCCGGTTGTTGTATTAAAGATAAGTACTTCATGCATTGAGCTGTGGTTAGTAAATTGTTTCCAAACCATGGCATCAACTAAGTTTTAATAAATAAATTAGTACATTCAAAACACTTTGGAATCTTCCAGTAAAGCAAAGAATAGTTACACTAACATGGTTAATACTAGGTGGCAACATAAGTACCACAATTCCACTAGACAAGTTGGCATTATGACACCATTATTATTTTTTCCATCAGGCCATCGTGAGCTCGTGGCTGATTGGCTGCGTCTGCAAACGGGATCAATTTTGGCAGAAACGATGGTACGAGTTTCCAGAGAACAGGTCATGTACGGCGAGCTCGATTGTTCGGTTCTGAACTTCATGTTGCTTTGGTTATAATTCATTTTTCTCTCGCAGCTTCCGTGAGTAAGACAAATGAGTTGTGCATGCAAAGCTATGTCACTTTTCAACGATCCAGTAGCCCACACGCAGTCCTCCTCCTTTCACATGACATCATCTCAGGCAGTCATACTCGTTACAACGGAGGGCAGAGAAAGAAAAAAGAAAAGAAAAAAAACGGACACCGAATAAAAAGAAATGACTGAAGAAACCAATCATACTGATGCATGTTGACTTGGTTCTCATGACCCAAAAACCATTCAGAGAGAAGGCCCCTTGAAGAATCCCGACTCCCAAACACACTGCCAACGTGTATCACTGCTCGGATTCTGACCTTCGATATCTGCCTCTGCGGGGAGCCGGCGGCTTGCGAGTGGCGGCTGCGGCAGCAAAGCTGACGAGGCAGCAGAGGGAGACGGCGACCAGCTTAGCTGTGTCCATCCAGCCCGGCGCATCGGGGAGGTAACCCTCCGCCAGATAGAGGCACAGGATGAGGAACCACAGGACAGAGGCCACCGCGTCAATTCTCCTCAACCTGAAGATGAAGCAAGAAATATTTTTTTTTAAAAAGGGCTTTTAATTTTAATCAAACACTTCCGTATAAACAAAGTAAGGCGACTGCTCACCTAACGGGCCCTGCTAAGAAGATGGCTGTCAGACATGTCAGCAGGCCGGCAGAGACCATCACCAGCTGGTTGTCTCGGCCACGCTGCCACACCAGCTTGGCGTTTTCCACGGCCTGGTCCGGGAGCAGCTCCAGCACGCCCTGCCAGACGGGCACGGCTCCACCGCTGCCGTTGTTGGAGTGGGACCCGTTGGGAGACGTGGGCCTTGGGGGGATGACGCCCCCGCTTAACGTCTGCGGTTCGCTTGGCGAAACGGTCTGTGCTGGCAATTTATAGAAAGACGTAGCGAGTAGGAAAGCGCAAACCAGGAAGGCCAGGATCCTTAAGAGTATGACGCCCAAGGGGGAGGACGGAGCCGGGGAGCTCTGTGGGAGGCAAAACACATGTCCACCTTGAGTCTTGGCTTTCTATAAATACCCCAAGATAAGGAGGTAGAAACTAAAGCTGCCAGTGAAGCCCCACTCAGGGTGAAAGAATTTGAGGTCTTCATATGATTTCAGAACAAGGATACAGGGTAAAATAAATACATAAGAAGACTAAACAACGAATGCCAAAGAAGTAATCGATCAATGTGTGAGGTGAAGTTGGCTTGTAACTGAGCTGTAACTATTGAAAGTCAGTGTACTATTCTGAATATATAATTAGCACTAAAATAATATTTTAAAAAACTATCTAAATAAGAGATCCTCTGGCTCAAAAACAGAAGAAAATAGATAAGAAAAATAAATTGATTTTTTGTGAGCTTCTCTGCTGGATACGTTCTTATGATGCAACAAATCATAAGCAACAAATATCTCCTCTAAAGAAGCAATCCTTTATTTAAAAAAACTACCACTCCAAGAGTATCAAAATGTACCACTGGACATTTGCAGTACATGTCCATTTTTTGTGTGTATGTTATTTACATGTATAGTAACCAGAGCAATTGCCATCATCAAATGTAGTGCTGTTTTTTTAATAACTTGTCTGGCTCAGATGTGCATTTAAGTCACCTTTTACTTTGAGCGGCACTGACCTTTACAAACCCCGTGTTCGATTCTCGGGTGCGCCGAAGCTGATGGTTTAAGAGCACCGTACGAAGCTGGCGGTTTTGATACTTAATATAATATTCTACGGCCGTCTGACAAGGTCTGCATAGCTTATACGTCTGCTCCAGGTGGTGCTTGTAGGCTTCAATTTCCTCGTCGTAGTTCTCCTACAATGAAAACACACAAACCGATTCAGCGGCATCCTCGTCAGAATGCATTAAGCATTTATGTGAGTGAAAAAGGACGCAGTACATACGTCATCCCTCGGCAAATATGAAGCCAGCTGCTTGATCTTTGTAGACTGGTTATTATTGCACTTCCTGCAAAGCAGCATCTGACAGTTGACCCACTGCAGAGTCTTAGGTGGCTCAGGTGAGGGAGGGCTTCCAGAGACGCCATGATTCAGGTGTTCCATGTACTGAGCCGGGATCGGTTTGTTGTAATCCCCATTCTGACGAAGGCAAAACAGAACAAAATGTTTAACGGCGTTCCCTACACCGCTGACCACTACAACTCGATACACGTTTATGCACAAACCTCCTGAAAGCCATTGTACTGGTCACAGTTTGGACAATCCCAGCAGTTCCTGTTTCCATAAGGAACAACTGTGTTCTGGTTACAGAACCAGCAGTTTACATTTGCATGGGTGGGCTTCTTCCTGTAAGAGAAGAGGAAGTTATATTTAATCACAAACCCAATGAAACCTTTTTCTGCATGTTCTCCACTGCTACAAATAGAGGCTTGCCCAACAGGTTAGCTAATGTGATTAACAACTGAACAGCGCATTGTTCAACAGCCCAATGCTCGGCAGGATTTTCAGCATTTTCAGAGACGAAGTTTAACAGTTGAAAATAAAATGTTCTACTAATTAATGCACTGGTCATGGGGAGACTACAAACGTTATGGTAGTTAGACATATCCAAATTACTATGACCGTACAACTGCATTTGTCTCCAAAAAATGCAGAAAATATTAAATCACATTTTGGTTTATGGCTTATGTAATTCAAATTCAAATTAGCGATTACCGCATATGTGTGTATAGTTAGCATGAAAGCTAATACTATTACGCTTAGCACGGTTATAGAAACGTAACTAATTTCCAATTGTGGGCTTGAAAGGTGAAGCCTTCATCTTCATCAATGCAATCAACTGAACTAAGCGTATAGCCAACAGCTAACGGTGCTAAAATGGATGTGACAACTGTTAGCTAAACATCTACGACGCGATTAAGTTACCTGGTGGCAATCTTATAAATCAGCGCTCCACCTGTGACGAAAGCCGTTGCTCCGACTCCACTATACAATAATTCAGGATATTCCAAAAGAAGCCTGCTAAACGTCTCCATTTCCACTGTAATTTGTAGTGTTTTGCGCAAAACACGGCGCGAGAGCGCACGCGGGTAAAGGATTCCTTTTGTTCACGCCCCTGTACCGGAAACGGAAGTGAGTGTCAACCTGGACGAATTCCACCAATTTTTAATCCGTATTCTCCCGCATAAATGGGAGCAAGAATTTCAAAACTCAAGTCAAGAAAAATCACTGCCGTTTTTTTATTAGTGACTTCCTGTTTAATATAATCCACGTGAAAGTCAACTGTATAACAATCACGATAAATGTATCATTACTTTTTTTTTTTTTTATCAAACAGACATTTCACATTATAACTTGGCTCTACTTTATGGATAAATGACTAATTTGTGAGTTTGCAGCCACCACCCTCCCATCCCGATTTAGTACATGTTTCCAAGTAATTCCTCCTACTTCAGAGGTACGCGAATGCAGCATGGGACCTCTGACCAGGTCCACGACCCTCTGCTCATTCAGGGGCATCCTTTTGGTTTGAAAAGCACACGCATTTTGTTTTAAATTATTTTAAATGTTTGTTTAAAACGACCTCCAAACGACCAGCCTACCACACGGCTACGACGGATAATAAACCCAGTTCAACAGAGGGAAATCACACAAGCCTATTCACGTTGAACTTGAGTGAAAACCCCTTTTCCTTTAATGCTCGACGACATAGGCTATTTTAAAATGACACACAAATGAAAATATAAAACCATTCCTGTCATACAGGATGATTTCCAACAAGAGGAAACATGCAGGCCCAAAGAAAGATCTTATCATCATTGTTGTCATTATAAGTCACAGGTTGCTGAGTCAATCAATGAGAACATTGATGCAAAAATAACATTTTATTTGACCAAACATGATGTAGTCGAATTACATCGAGGCAACATTCATAATAGAATAAAATAAGTGGTCAGTGCATTTGTCAGTTGCTGTAGCAGCTTAAAGAACAGAATAAAAGCAGAACAAACTTATAAATAACGTAAAACGAACACACAAATCATAATGGAGTAAAAAAATTAAATCTAATCAAATGGCCATCCTCAGTCCACGTGAGAACAGTGCACTTAGTGAAAAGGCTTTGGTGAGCATGGTCAACGACATGTTTCTTGCAGGCAACATTTGAACCGGTAACGATACTTTTTCAACTCAGTAAACAGCCCAAAAACTGAAATGGGGGGGGGCAACTTCGACTTTTCCAGGCTGGCTGTCAGTGGTCGGAGTAGGTGGCCGCGGGCCTGGCGTAGGAGGTGAAGTGCTGGTAGCCGGACGCCACCGAGGGGGCGCACCCGTCCGGGCTCCCGGGCTGGCTCACGCCGCCGTAAGGGTACCCGCCGTGGGGCACCAGCACGGGCGGGTGGCGGTGGTGGTGGTGGTAAGACCCGTAGAGCGGGTGGTGGAAGCCGGGCGGCGAGCACTGGGACCCGCCGGGGGACACGCCGCGCGCCAGCCCGGCCACGAGCTGGGGGGCGGCGTACCCGGCCGGCCGGGGGGGGCTCGGCGGGGCCAGGCCCCACGAGCCGCCCGCGAAAGGCTGCAGGTACACCGAGTCCGGGTATTCCGCGTGGCTCGCGGCCAGGTACGTCACGCCCGTGGGTCGGTGGGGTCTCCTCACCCTCCTCCGCCGCCGGTAGTTCCCTTTCTCGAACATGTCCTCGAAGGCGGGGTCCAGCATCCAGTAGTTGCCCTTCCTGTCCCCGCCGCTCTCCCTGGGCACTTTCACGAAACACTCGTTGAGGGACAAGTTGTGGCGGATGCTGTTTTGCCAGCCCTTTTTGTTCTTCTCGTAGAAGGGAAAGTTGCGTATGATGTACTGGTAAATCCCGCTGAGGGTTTCTCTCTGCTCCCGGCTCTCCTTGATGGCCATGGCGATGAGAGCCACGTAGGAATAGGGCGGCTTCTCCTCCCGGGGGGGCGGCTCACCTCCGGGCTCGGCCGCGGGCGAGCTGGAGCTGATGTCCAGGAGCTGGGCTCCCCGCTCCCGGGCGGCTCTCTCCGTCGTGGCCATGCTTTTTGGGCTGGGGCTCCGCTGGCGCGTCCTGCCGGGGCGACAGAGATCCACGGTGTGGGCCGCCCGCCCGCCCGGCCGGCTCCGGATGAGCCTACAGGTGCGCGCACCCCGCCCACAGGTGTCCGCGCGCCCTCTTTCATGTCCCCGGCTTTCTCACGCTGTTTACACGGCCGTGTGGGTCAGCGTGCGGGTTGAAACGAAGGGGTCAGCGGACGGCCATGCAAATAGTATCACTTTGGAGTGCTCCATCAAACACTGGTGTTGTCCTGTAATGAATAGCTTTAATAAACCCAATGACCTGCGCAATGTTCCACTGTAACGTGTATAATCGTGTAATGCGCGGGCACATGGGATACAAATATACCATAACCCTAATAGTCACAACACTGATTTGCTATGGACATAAAAAAAAAGATATAAACCCCCCAAACACTCTTGCGAATGAGGCTATGTTGACTGTTGACTGTTATAATGAAAACTTTGTTATCAGATCTTTAAATAAAGAAATAGGCAGCTGTCTTCTTCCATAGATCACAAGCTGGACGTTTGCCCTGATCACAGATCACATTTTGAGTTAGGGGTTTGTTTAAAAATTCATATAAAGACATTGGTTTGAGTCTGTCTTCCCTTTTGAAAAGTTGCAAAAGTGTCCATGCAATTGTGACAGTTTGGACTGCTGTGTTTTATTTCTCATCCACATTTCGACAGATCTATCATGTTTTCGTTTTCTCCCAGATATTTACATAACTAAACATTCAAAATCTATTGAACATTTATACATTCCCCCTCAGTAAAGGTGGCAGTGATGCTCCTCATGTGATAACTTGAATGAGCTGAAATGAAACCTTTTATCTTGGGATGGTGCACTCCTACAAACCTTTTTGCTCTCGCGCACTCTGTGCCCTTCAGAGCTCAGGATGCCATATACATGTATTTCCAGCATCTTCTTTACATTTAAAACGTTTTTTTCTGACAGGGTTGTATCCTAAAAGATAACTGTGAATATATTTTTAAAAAACTTAAGCAGAACAATCAATAAAATGTGATAAAGTTAAGGAAACTGTCAAGGAGTCTGTCAAAGAGAGTGGTGTGGCGACCAGTAAAACTGAATGGTGCATCCTGCCTACACATAAAGATGAAGACAGTTCAAAGTAATTGAAAAAATAGTTCTTATCTCTCATTATTCTCTTATGTGTAGTTTGTGCACATATCTTCAGGTTTGAGGTTGTTTTGTGGGTCCAAAATCAAATAGAGTGATTTTAGCTAAAGAAGTTTCCATTCTTTTTTCTTCATTTCAATTGAACTTAATCTCTGGACCTATTGGCTCTTAAACAGGATCAAACTATGAAAGCTAAGAAACCTGGCCTGTGTGTTAATGATCAGTAGCTTCCTAGAAGGAGTTCAAAAGTAGAGCAAGATGAGGAAATTTTCATTAAGCGTAGAAAATAAATAAATAAATGAATAGATGCATAAAAGAATAAATAAATAAATAAACAAATAAATGGCTTAACAAAGGACAGTTTGTTTCCTGTTGGTGATTAAATAGGGTAAGTAAGTTGTGCAACAGACCACCAGAGAATGGATCTCTTGATACTAAAAATCCTGTTTGAGCAGAAATTAGATTGTGAGTTTCGTATGTCCCAAATCCTTTTGGATTCTTTGATTTCTTTTAGAGAGCTGACAGAAATGGAAAAGTGAAACTGGATGTCTCAATGTGCTTTTTTCACAGAGAAAGCTAGATCTCCCCCACCCACATGTCATATAAGCAAAACATGGCGCCAGCCGAAACACAATCTGTGCAGCTCCAACTATCTGGGAAGAAAGAATGCGACAAAAGTGCCAAAAGAGGAGAAAAGATTGGAAACACTGTGTTGAGAAAGCAAAGACATGGACAGTTTTGGCACATAAGCATCTGTGTCTGACCCAAAGTAATAAAAGAGGCAAGTTGGCACCTCCATTATTTTGCTTTAAGGTGTTGGGGACCTGCAGGTGTAAGTAAGTTAATTGGGGTTCATTTTGACATTACATTGGTCGCAACCCATATGTTAGGTATGTATAGTTCACTCTCAGGAGATAGAATTATAGCACAGAAATGTCTGTGATATGACATTCTTTCATTTAGCTTGTTCATATAGTTATTGTTAAAATTACTTAAACTTGAAAGATGCTATCAGAATTGACCTCTATTTGCTTACCTTAGAGTTTTACTTTTTTACCGATTTCTTGCAATTCACTAATGGTTTTATTCCATTTAGAAAGATCATTTGCACTGAACTCATATAACCTCTGGTCGTCCTCCCAGGTTCCTCCATAATCTCTGTTGCATTAACTACACGTCTTCAAGGACAGCACACACATACACACACACACACACACACACACACACACACACACACACACACACACACACACACACACACACACACACACGCA